AATTTTCATCATAGAGATCTTTCACCTCCTTGGTTAAATGTATTCCAAGGTATTTGATTTTTTTTTTTTTTTTTTTTGGTAGCTGTTGTGAATGGGATTGATCTGAGAAGTTCTTTCTCAACCATGGCATTATCTGTGTGTACCAAGGCTATTGACTTTTGTGTATTGATTTTTGTTTTGTTTTGTTTTGTTTTGACAGGCAGAGTGGACAGTGAGAGAGAGACGGAGTCTTCCTTTTTTTTTTTTGCTGTTGGTTAATCTTCCAATGGCTGCCGCAGCCGGTGCGCTGCGGCCGGCGCACCGCGCTGATCCGAAGACAGGAGCCAGGTGCTTCTCCTGGTCTCCCATGGGGTGCAGGGTCCAAGCACTTGGGCCATCCTCCACTGCACTCCCGGGCCATAGCAGAGAGCTGGCCTGGAAGGGGGGCAACCGGGACAGAACTGGCACCCTGACCGGGACTAGAACCCGATGTGCAGGCGCCGCTAGGTAGAGGATTAGCCTATTGAGCCGCGTCGCCAGCCTGTGTATTGATTTTATATCCTGCAACGTCACCAAGCTCTTATGAGTTCCAGTAGTCTCTTAGTGGAGTCTTTTGATTCCCATATATATAGAATCACTGTAAATAGGGATAATTTGACTTCTTCCTTTCCAGTTTGTATCTCTTTATTTATTGTTCATAATTTGATTATTTTTTGCCTAATGGCTGTGACTAAAACTTCCAGGTCTCTACTAAATAGCAATGGTGAAAGTGGTCATCCTTATCTGGTTCCAGATCTCAGTGGGAATGCTCCCAAATTTTCCCCATTCAATAAGATGTTGGATGTGGGTTTGTAATAATTTGTTTTAATTGTGTTGAAGAATGTTCCTTCTCTACCCAGTTTACTTAAGGCTTTCATCATGAACGGGTGTTCTATTTTATCAAATGCTTCCTCTGAATCTATTGAGATAATCATATGGTTTTTATTCTTCAGTTTTTAAATGTGATATATCCCATTTATTGATTAATGCATGTTGAACCATTCCTTCATACCAAAGATAAATCTCACTTGGTCTGGGTGAATGATCTTTCTGATGTGTTGCTGAATTTGATTAGTTAGTATTTTGTTGAGGATTTTTGCATCTATGTTTATCGGGGATATTAGTCTATAGTTCTGTTTCTCTGTTGTATCTTTTTCTGGCTTAGGATTTAAGGTGATGCTGTGCTCATATAAGGAGTTTGGGAGGATTCCCTCCCTTTCAGTTGTTTTGAAAAGCTTGAGAAGAATTGGAATTAGTTCTTCTTTAAAAGTCTGGTAGAATTCAGCAGGGAAGCCATCCGTTCCTGGGCTTTTCTTTGTTGGGAGCATCTTTATTACTGATTCAGTCTCTGTCTTGGTTATTGGTCTTTTTAGGTTCTCTGTGTCTTCATGACTCCATTTTGGTAGGTTGTATGTTTCCAGGAATCTTTCCTTCTTTGAGGTTTTCCACTTTGTTGGCATATCTAAATCCTGATGATTCTGTTTTGTTTTCTGTGGTATCCATTGTTGCAGTTCCTTTTTTGTCTTTGATTTTATTAATTTGTGTCTTCTCCCTCTTTTTTTGCTATATCAATTTTGTGTATTTTTTCAAAAACTGAGCACTTTATTTCACTGATCTTTTGTATTTTTTTGTTTCAATTTTATTTCTTCTCAAATTTTAATTATTTCTTCTCTCCTAATTTGGGTTTGATTTGCTGTTTTTCTAGATCCTTGAGATGCACTGATAGCCTAGTTTTTTAAAAAGATTTTTTATTTATTTGAGAGGCAGAATTACAGACAGAGAGAGAGAGAGACAGAGAAAGGTCTTCCATCCACTGATTCATTTCCCAGTAACGACTGGAGCTGGCCCGATCCAAAGCCAGGAGCTGGGAGCCCCTTCTGAATGTCCCAAGTGGGTTCAAGGTCTCAAGCACTTTGGCCATCTTTCATTGCTTTCCCAGGCCATAAGCAGAGGACCTTTTTTATTTAATGCCATTCCAATTTCTTGATGTAGTCACCAATTGCTATAAACTTCCCACTTAACACTGCTTTTGCTGCATCCCATAAGTTTTGATATGTTTGTATTGTCATCTTCATTCATTTCTAGAAATTTTTTATTTCTGTTTTGATTTTCTTCTATGACCTACTGTTCATTCAGGAGCATGTTGTTGAGTCTCCATGTGTTTGCATATTTTGTAGAGATTCTTGAGTTGTTAATTTCCAGTTTCTTTCAGAAAGAAGAGCAGCTGGGACATGAATTGACACCCATATGGATACTAGCACTGCATGCAGAGGCTTAATATACTGTGCCACACCATTGGCCCCTCTTTGTTTCTGTTAACAGTTTTTGTGTTAATGTCTGTTTTGTCTTATATTGGGATGGCTACAGCTGCTTGTTTTTGCTTTCTGTTAGCATGGAATATCTTTTTCCATCCTTTCATTTTCAGTCTGCATGTGTCTTTGTTGGTGAGGTGTTATTTCTTGTAGGAAGCAAATAGATGGGTCTTGTTTTTTAATCCATTCAACTAGTCTGTGTCTTTTCATTGAAGAATTTAGGACATTTACATTTAAGCTTATTGTTGAGAAGTAACAACTTGACCCTGCCATTTTTCCATAGATATTCCTATTATTTGCTTTCGATTTCCTTTATACTTTTACTGGGAAATTTTATACCTTCACATTTTTTTCATAATGATGACTATCTTTCTGTGATTCTGTAGATACTTAAGCATTGTTTGTAAGGTTGGATAAGTGTTAACAAATTTTTTCAATTTCTGTTTGTTATAGAAGGTCTTCATTTCACTTTGATTCATAAGTGAAAGATTTGCAGGGTATAGTATTCTGAGTTGACAGTTTTTTCTTTTCTTTTTAATATTTGTTTATTTGAGAGACAGAGTTACAAAGCAAAAGAGGCAGAGAGAGAGGTCTTCCATCCACTGGTCCATTCCCCAAATGGCCATAACAGCTGGAGCTGGGCCGATCAGAATCCAGGAGCCAGGAGCTTCTTCTGGGTCTGCCACATGGGTAGAGGGGCCCATGCACTTGGGCCATCTTCCAGTACTTTCCACTACTTTTTCTTTGCTGTAGCAGAGAGATGGATCAGAAGTAGAGCAGCCAGGACACGAGCTGCCTCCCATATGGGATGCCAGCGCTGCTAGCCTGTCCCATCCACTGAGAGAACAGAGCCGGCTGTCTGTGGGTGTTCCACCTTAGTGGTTTTAGCCCCACAGCCTGTGATATGTTGAGAGCTTAGGGGCACTTCACAGTCTTGCTTGATTACCAGCTCCCTGTCAATCCTCCTAGCCAGATTCACAGTGGGGAACATGGATTTTTCCCTCTGGTAAAATCCCCAGTTCACATTCATGACAAGAGCCACTTTAGCTGATATTCATGTCAAAATGGTATTGTCTCCCTGCTGGTCGACAGGCACCCTTGTTGGTGGAAGGGGAGAAAGAAATGTGCCCCTTTTTTCCTGGATTAGGTGGTACCCTGTTCCCTTTTAGGGCCGCTGCAGTCTGCTCTCACTTCCCTGTCCAAAGCTGGTGCTTCTTCTGACACTCAGCTCCAGGGATTGTGTGTTGTATGTGCACTCATTGCTGCATGTCCACAGTTTCTACACTGATTCATGGCATCCCTCTTCACTCTGTAGAATTTCCACTGCAGATTTCTCCAACTATTCCCTGGAACTTCCTCTAATTTTTTAGCTACTATATTCCCCTCACCTAAAGCAGTATGTCCTTTCCCTTTTTAGCCATGTTGAGATTCTCCACTTGTATGGTATTGAGAGTATAGGATATGAGGCCAGAACACTAGCCTAGAGTCTTAGTATCGCTGTTTGCTTGTTGTGTGGTCAGCAATCAATCTCTGCACCTCAGTTACCTAACCTACAGATGGGAGAGATTGCACTAAACCTCTGAGTCTTTTTTGGTCTCTCTAGAGATTGTCCATTTAGATTATGAAATTGTAGAGTGCTATTGAATTATGCAGTGATGGCAGGGATTGTATATCTGTATATCAAGAGCCATGTATGACTATTGTGCAACAAAAATGTGACTAGTGTGGCTAAAGAACAGAATTGTCAACTTTTTAACCTGATACTCATGTGTTCTACCAGCTACCATTTTGACAGTATAGTTCTAAATAAATCACACTGGTGTTGGGGCCGGCACTGTGGTGCAATGGGTTAACACCATGGCCTGAAGCGCTGGCATTCCGTATGGGCGCTGGTTCGAGACCCAGCTGCTCCACTTCCGATCCAGCTCTCTGCTATGGCCTGGGAAAGCAGTAGAAGATGGCCCAAATTCTTGGGCCCCTGCCTCTACGTGGGAGACCAGGAAGAAGCTTCTGGATCCTGGCTTCAGATTGGTGCAGCTCTGGCCATTGCAGCCGATTGGGGAGTGAACCATTAGATGGAAGACCACTCTCTCTGCCTCTCCTCTCTCTGTGTAGCTCTGACTTTCAAATAAATAAATCTTAAAAAAAATCAACAAGTCTTTTACAAAAATTTTCCAAAAGTTGCTATCTAATCCAGGTACTTTATTACAGTTGTTTTCTTTTCACCTGGGACACCAGCATCTGATAGGGACACGAGTTGGAGTTCTTGCTGCTCCACTTCCAACCCGGCTCCCTGCTAATGCAGCTGAGAAAAGTAGTGGAAGATGGCCCAACTGCTTGGGCCCCTGCATCCATATCGGATACCTGGATGAAGCTCCTGGCTCCTGGCTCTGGCCTGGTGCAGTTGTGGCCATTTGGGAAGTGAAACAGCAGATGGAAGAGCTCTCTCTCTCTCTCTCTCTCTTTCTCTCTGTAACTCTACCTGAATAATAAATAAGATAATTTTCTTAAATGATAGCTAAATATGACTAAGTAAAGATGTTTTTGACCAGTGAATTGTTTTTCCTATTATGGTACAGTACTTAGACCCAGTGACTAGTCTTGATGTGTTTAGTTTGCTAATATGTGGAACATTAAAAATGATTCTTATGTTGTTTTATAATTCCTTAGACTATTGTAGAGCTCTCTGAAGAGCGAGATGGTCTTCATTTTCTACCCCATGCGTCCTCAACTGCACAGTCACCCTGTGGTTCTCCAGGCATGAAGCGAACAGAAAGTCGACAGCATCTGTCAGTGGAGCTGGCAGATGCTAAGGCCAAGATAAGAAGGCTTAGGCAGGAACTGTAAGTTGTTGATTTTCAAGGTTCATTGAATTTATATAGTAACAGTGATGACCTAAACAGTATTTTTAGGTTGTGGCTGGGTAAAAATTTTCACTAGTATTTGTCAGCATGAGAAAAATGAAACTGGTGTAAGGTTTTCCTAGTGTTCAATCTTATCAATTTAAAGGATACCCTTTAATCTGAATTTGCGTCTTTCTTGTGTTAAATTATCCTTTATTTTCTAGAATAATATCCTTTCTTAGAAAATTGGGAGACTCATTTTTTTATTTTTAAAATTCTTTGAAATCCTAAATACTAGGAACCACTGATACAGAACAGTAAGGTTTAACTCTTTTAAAATTAATGTTTTGAAAGACTAAATTTTTGACATACAGTATTACAAAAAATAATTTTGTGAGTGAATCTTCTGCATTGAGTAACTGAATGCCTGATTCATTACTTAATAAAGGTAAATATTCAGATTTGGTTAGTATTGATGAATTATATTTATTTGACTGTCAGAGATCATTATAGGAAAGTCAGTGTCACATAGGCATTTCTTGGTGAACTGTAAGAGAAGACATGACTAGTCTGCTGGAGTTTTTTTGTGTGTGTGCTTTGAAACAAAGGATTTTGGTTTGGAAGCTTCTTCTTTCTTCTCTTTTTTTATTGTGTGCTTTTTGTGTTACTTGTTTAGGTTTTTCTTGTTTCTTTTTTTTATTTCCTGGAATTTGAGCTTCAGAATATAGATTTTAAATTTAAAGCCACAAATAGCAGTTAAGTTTGTTTATTGATTATTTAAAGTAGCTAAAGAAAGTGATTTGAATGTGCAGAGTAGAAAAAAATATTACAGTCTGGAGAAAAATTTGGAAACAAAACAATATAGCTTTCATTTGTGGATGTCTGCATTATTATGTATCTATTGAGTTGAACACGCCCAGGATATTCTATAAACAGCTGCACCAGGAAAATTAGGGAAGAGATTGCTGTTATTAGTTTGACTGGCAGCTAATGGATAGCCTAAACAGTGAATGCTAGTTTGTTCCATATAATTTAGCACAATCTTCTCTAGTCTTTAGATAAAGCATGCAATTAGAATTGCAGTGATGGCTGTGAATTTGCTTAACATTTTGTACTGTATTAGAATTCAGTTTTTACATAAAATTTACTTGACTGTGAAATGTATTAAAATAGCAGACAACTTGAAGGGAATTGATGAAATTTAGTTTTGTATTTACTAATTGGGAAATGTAAGTAGTTGTTTTAATGGATTAATAAATAAGCCAGGTACAGCAAGTATTTCCAGTAACTGTTAGATGATAGTCTCATTGTCCTTTGAAAATATTTTCCTTCATTCCTTTCTTAATACCTCTTTTAAGTGTTTTTATTGGGATCAGTCTTTACTAAAGTGAGTGAACTACAGAAATATGAACAAAAATGGTCCAGATTGCTTTATATGTAATAGAAATTTTACAATAAATAAGTATAATAAGAATAATGTAAGGCCAACGCCATGGCTCAATAGGCTAATCCTCTGCCTGCGGCGCCGGCACACCGGGTTCTAGTCCCCGTCCGGATGCCGGATTCTGTCCCCGTTGCCCCTCTTCCAGGCCAGCTCTCTGCTGTGGCCTGGGAGTGCAGTGGAGGATGGCCCAAGTGCTTGGGCCCTGCACCTGCATGGGAGACCAGGAGAAGCACCTGGCTTCCAATGCTCATTGGTTAATGAGCATTGGAATTGTGTATACCCTTTTGGCTGTTAAAAATAAGGATGCTGTGAACATTCTTGTGGACACTTTTGTATGGACATATGTTAATTATCTTGTATGTAACTGAGGAATGGAAAACATTCTACATTATTAATATAGTGACACTAAATTATACACTCAAATTTTTTTAATGCTGAATTTTATATTGTAATTAAAATTAATTTTTAAAAAAGCATTCAGTAATCTAAAATGGAACATTTGTAAGAAATATCATATAATTGACAAAAGGTAATAGCTTGTTATTTAAGAAGACAGAGGCACTGGCATTGTGGCATCGTGGGTTAAGCCACTGCTTGCAATGCCAACATCCCATGTGGGCCTCTGTTCGAGTTCTCACTGCTCCACTTCCAATACAACTCTCTGCCAATGTGCTTGCAACAGCAGTGGAGGACAGCTCAAAGGCGTGGGCCCCTTCACCCACGTGAGAGACACAGAAGAGGATCCTGGGTCCTGGCTCTGACTTGGCCCAGCCCAGGCCGTTGCGGCCACTTGGAGAATGAACCAGCAGATAGAAGATCCATCTCTCTCTCTCTTTTCCACCCTTCCATCTCTTCCTCTCTCTCTGTAACTCTGCCTTTCAAATAAATAAAATAAATATTTAAAAAAAGTGACAAACCAGCCGGCGCCGCACCTCAATAGGCTAATCCTCCACCTGCGGCACCGGCACTCCGGGTTCTAGTCCATGTCGGGGCACTGGATTCTGTCCCGGTTGCCCCCTTCCAGTTCAGCTCTCTGCTATGGCCAGGGAGTGCAGTGGAGGATGGCCCAAGTCCTTGGGCCCTGCACCCGCATGGGAGACTAGGAGAAGCACCTGGCTCCTGTCTTCGGATCAGCGCAGTGCGCCGGCCGCAGCGCGCCAGCAGCGGCAGCCATTGGAGGGTGAACCAACGGAAATGGAAGACCTTTCTCTCTGTCTGTCTCTCACTGTCCACTCTCCCTGTCAAAAAAAAATAAAAATAAAAATAAGACAAACCATCCATTAGAAAGTTAGCAATGAGACTAGCTAATAATTCACAAAAGAAAACTTCTTTTTCTCTTTTTAAATTTTTTTTCTTTTTTTGACAGGCAGGGTTACAGAAAGAGGAGGAGATACATAGAGAGATATTGAGACAAAGAGATCTTCCATCCACTGATTGACTCTCAAGCAACAATGGCCAGGGCTGGGCCAGGCTGAAGCCAGGAGCTTCTTCCTAGTCTACCACGTCGGTGCAGTGGCCCAAGCAGTTGGGCCATCTTCCACTGCTTTCTTGGGTGCATTAGCAGGGAGCTGGATCACAAGTAGAGCAGCTGTGTCTCTAACCAGCACCTATGTGGGAAGCTAACATCGCAGGCACAGACTTAACCTCCTGCACCACAATGTTGGGCTCCAAAAGAAAACATTTTAATGGCACAACCATGGGAAAACAACTGTAGCCTTTTGTAGTGTTCAAGGAAATGCAAGTTAGAGCATTTTTCAGTTTTTCAGTTTTTACCTATTTAGGTGCTTTTATCCTCTTCCAGTTGCATTATATGTTGGTAACAACTTTTCTGGAGAGCATTTCGGCAGTATATGTCAAGTATTTTTAATTCTGTGCACAGAATTTTATGTGTAATGAGTTTCTTCTGTAAAACATTCATTATAGTGAAAACTGGGATCTACCTAATAATGATTCCTCTACCATAATGAATATTTTTCTACTGTTAAAAATTATAGCTGGGACAGTGCCATGGTGCAGTAGGTTAATCCTCTGCCTGCGGCGCTGGCATCCCAGCTGCTCCTCTTCCAATCCAGCTCTCTGTTATGGCCTGGGAAAACAGTGGAGGATGGCCAAAGTGCTTGGGCCCCTGTACCCGCATGGGAGACCGGAATGAAGCACCTGGCTCCTGGCTTCAGATCAGTGCAGCTTCAGCCGTTGCGGCCATTAGGGGAGTGAACCAACAGAAGGAAGACCTTTCTCTCTGTCTCTCTCTCTGACTGTCTATAACTCTACCTCTCAAATAAATAAATAAATAAATAAAATCTGTAAAAAAAATGGGTATGGTGAGCATTTGACCTAGCAATTAAGACACTAGCTTGGAATACGCACATCTTATATTAGAGAGCCTATGTTCGAATTCTAGCTCCACACTCAGTTTCAGCTTCCTGCTGTGGTTCACCCTGCTAGACAGCAGTTGAAGACTCAGATAGTTGGGTCCCTGCCCCTACATGGGAAACCTGGATTGAGTTCCAGGCTCCTGGTTTCTGCCTCTACCCAGCCCCAGCCATTGCAAGTGTTGGAAAGTGAACTCTCTTCATCCCTGCCTCTCAAAAGTTTTTTTTTTTTTTAATAAATATTTATTTATTTATTTATTTGAGAGGTGGAGTTACAGAGAGGCAGAAGCAGAGAAAGAAAGAGAGAGATCTTCCATCTACTGGCTCACTCCTCAAATGGCCGCAATGGCTGGGACTGGGCCAATCTGGAGCCAGGAGTTTCTTCTGGGTTTCCCACACAGGTGTAGGGGACCACGGAGTTGGGCCATCTTCTACTTTGCCAGGCCATAGCAGAGAACTGAATCAGAAGTGGAACAACCAGGACTCGAACTGGCATCCATATGGGATGCCCACACTGCAGACAGTGGCTTTACACGCAACATCACAGCACCAGCCAAAATAGTTTTTTAAAGTTAAAAAAAAAAAAAAAAAAGATGGCTTTGAAACATTTGTGAAAATATGAGGTAATGTGAACTATAGGTCATTTTTTACATAGTATTTACCTTTTTTTTATTAAAGAACAGAAGGTATAAAAGTACAGATAGAGAGTCAAGGCTTACTTTGAGAATGTTGGCTGTAAGGGAGAGATAGAAAATAGTAAAAGTAAAGCAGTTCAGAGAGAAAAAAATTGAATGTTTAAGGATGTTTATGGCCCATAACACAGAAACCAACAGAGAATTAATTTTAGTTACCTGTAGATAAATAGAAAGTATATAGTTTATTTTGGACCATTGTAAGTTTTGAAAATGGTTTGGAGTTTCTTAGAGTTCTTAGACTCAGATAGTATTGCCTTGCATAGAAAATTTTGTGGCTAGGGGCTGCCACTGTGATGTTAATGGTTTAAGCAGCTACCTGCTGTACCAGCATCCCACATGGGCACTGGTTCATCTCCTGGCTGCTCCTCTTTCAATCCAGCTCTCTGCTAATGGCCTGGGAAAACACTGGGAGGTGGCCCAAGTACTTGGGCCCCTGCAACCATGTGGTAGACCTGGAAGAAGCTCCTGGCTCTTGGCTTCAGCTTGGCCTAGCCCTAGCCATTGTAGCCATTTGGGAAGTGAACCAATGGGTGAAAGATCTCTTTGTTTCGCTATCTCTCTCTCAGTAACTCTGCCTTTCAAATAAAAAATAAATCAATCTTTAGAAAAAAAAATGAAAATCTTGTGACTTAATTATCTTCAACCATACAGGGAGAGAAGCAGAGAGAAAGGAGAATAGAAACAAAGGGGATGGTGGGATAGACAGGCAAAATGAAGAGAGAGAAATTACGTTATGAACTATTGAGACATTAGTCATCCATGTTAGCCTCTAGGGACCATTAGGGGAGAAGTTTGATTAATAGATATCTCATCATAGGTTTCTAATAACACTTTCTTTGTTTTTCTCCCCTGGGCTGGGGTTATTACTGATACTGTGTTCAACTAATTATTTAGTAATGATAATTAATTTGTGTTAGTCATGATGAACATAGTTTTCAAAAGTAGTAAACTTATTTAATAAATATTTTTGCATTTAAGGGAGGAAAAGACTGAACAGTTGTTGGACTGTAAACAAGAACTTGAGCAAATGGAAATAGAACTAAAAAGGCTACAGCAAGAGGTTTGTACCTAGAATTATTATATAGGATCACCAAGTAATTAATTGGGAATTCATTTTTCCCTTTATAATTTATAACCTTTACCTAAACACTTGACATAAATAAATGAGGTAACTGATGCTTAAGGAAACTGAATGACTTTTCAGTGTCTATTTCTCTTCAAGTATGCCAGAGCCAAAGCTAGAAGTCAAGGTCTTTGAAAAGTTCAGATTTAGCTGGATTTAAAAGAGCCTTTTAGGACTGGGGAAGTTTCAATGTTTTTTCTTTCTCTTTAATTTTTTTTATGCTTTTGGCTTCTATGACTGTGGAAGCTGGAACACCTCTACATCTTGTGAAATGTGCTTATGTGTGTTTTCCAGTGTCACTGCTCTTTGATGCTTTATATTAACACAAAGTGCTTTTTAACTTTTCACTCTTTTCCTAATAAATAATATCAAACTCTCTACTTTTTAAAAATTACTTTATTTTTATTTTACTTAAAGCCTTGAACCAAAAGTGTTCAAAATTTACTTCTTTTAATCACTTTATGTTTTATTTTCATTTAAAGGTGGTGTATGATCTTTTCAACCTGTAAATGATAAAGATTGATATAAGGCTGTATACTTGTTTCTTACTGTTGCTTCCCCTAACCTAACATTTTTAAACGTAGGGGATACCCCATTTGCTGAATCATAAATTGGGACCTTCCAAGATGAATGATAGAGTCATAGTCTTTATTTCTAGATATGCTGTGACTGCTGTTCCACTTCTTGGTAGCAGGGTTACCTCTTAAAGTTCCCAATCCTTTTGGTCTCAAAAATTAATGAAGATTATTTAATGTGGATTATGTCTACTGGTATTATTGCATTAGAAATAAAAACAGCTTTTAAAATTCATTTGAAAAATGTACAACCAAAAAATAATAAATTGAAGATGGAAATATTAAAAGTATTGTTATTAATATTTAGAACATGAATTTGATTTCGGATGCTCGTTCTGCAAGAATGTACCGAGATGAATTAGATGCACTTCGAGAGAAGGCAATCAGAGTTGATAAGCTTGAAAGTGAAGTCAGCAGATATAAAGAAAGGCTACATGACATTGAATTTTATAAGGCAAGAGTTGAGGTATGTTGTTAACCATTATGGTAATTTTTAACCTTAAAAGTGGAATTTTCAAAATGTGTTTAAAATGTACTTAATAAATAAGAGAAACTCTTGAAATCTTGAGTAAACATTAAATTGTTAAATAGTTTCAGGTGTTTATTTTATGGTAGATCAGTAGTATTGCTTATACTTTTACAAAGAGATTTTTGAATATTTTTGAAGTCTCATTTCTTTATTTAGCATCATACATAGAACAGACTTTTGAAGTCCTTATCCTTGTGACTAAGGAATTTAAATATGCCCTGACAATTTAATGTTAAATTACAGTAGTATTACTCATCCTAATATCAGGACTGAGCATTTTATTTACATAATGGCTTAAATAGCCACAATAATTAGTTGTTTTTACTAATCTCAAACTTGTTTCCCAAGCAAAACATATTTCTGATTGCTGCTTCACTGAGATCACTAAATTAGAATTAATAAAGGCAATACAAGGGAAACAGTTTGTGGACAAATGAAATTAGAAGATAATGTGAATTTTCCATGGACTTCTTGAAGTCTCCTTGTATAAATGCAAACAAATTAGAAAAAAAAAACAATTTTTACCTCCTAAGGGTTACAGATTATGTTACATGAAGTTGAATTTTATATAAAAGATTCAAAAGTCCTTGCATCCTTTTTTCCTCTCTTGGTTAAGAACCTCATTGTCTATAAACAGAGGAGAGTTTGGTCAGTTTTAATATGAGGACAAGAAGGGGGGAATATGCAAAAATCAAATTAAAACATAAGAGAAAGTAAAACATTTTAGCCTGTTACCAGTAAATAGAACCAAAAGAACTGCAAATATAAAGTCCTTGTTAACTCTTTGCCAGTTACTTAAAGTTGTGTATGCATGGTACTGTTAAGGGATCATCATGGATGCCACTGTCTTAATGTACTTTGTCCAGATTTCAGTTAAAAAACCACAGGCATTTAGCAAGACAGAACTTTGGGCATGTACTTTGAAAATGTACAGGGTTTGGGCTGGAGCTGTGGTGGTGCCAGCATCCCATATGGGTGCTGGCTTTAGTGACTGCTACTCCACTTCCAATCCAGCTCCCTGTTAATGTGCCTGGGAAAGCAGTGGAGGATGGCCCAAGTGTTGCGGCCCCCACACCCATCTGGGAGACCCAGAAGGAGCTCCTGCTCCTGGCTTCGGATCAGCCATTGTAGCCATTTGGGAGTGAACCAGCAGGTGGAAGATTCTCTCTCTCTCTCTCTTTCTCTCTTTCTCTCCTCTCCTGTCCCTCTTTCTCTGTCTCTAACCTTTCAAATAAATAAATCTTTAAAAATAATGTAAAAAATTTAAAAAAAAACAATGTATAGGGTTTTTAAGGATTTTCTTAAGATGTTTATATATTTATAAATATAGGCTTGGTTTATGATTTATGTGAGCCTTAATTCAAGTCTTATTGCTTTGTTGCAAATACCTCAAACCCTTCACTTTGAAGAACAGAGACATCTTTTAGTTCAGTTAGTGAAGTAAGCCCTGATTCTGTGGAGATTTGTGTCTTAAATTTTGGAAGATTACTTATGCTTAATTTCCTATCCTTGTGACTAAGAAGCTTAAATATACCCCAACAATTTCATGTTAGAATATACTAGAATTACTCATCCATATATAAGGACTCTATTTTGTTTGCATAATAGCTTGAATTGTGGGGGCAGGCCAGGAATGAAGGAAAGAAGACATCAACTGTATTTCTGTTACTCAATAGCCTTACTTACTCTTACATAGAACTGCTGATATGGACAGCTTAAAGTTTTATGATAATTTCTAGAGCTTTAAAAAGTTAATAGATATTAACAAATTTAGTATAAATAAAGTTAATTGAAATTTTTATAGGAATTAAAAGAAGACAATCAAGTTTTATTAGAAACAAAAACCATGTTGGAAGACCAACTAGAAGGAACTCGAGCTCGTTCTGATAAGTTACATGAATTAGAGAAAGAGAATTTACAACTGAAGGCTAAGCTGCATGATATGGAAATGGTAAGTTTCATGGACTGAAATCAATTACATAGCCTCTAAAGAAATATTCTAAGATTACGCTTATTTTTCTAAAATGACAAGAGTAGCCAATGTCCTTAAGGCTTTAACAGAGAAGAAATAGCTGAATATGTTAGATGTGTCCAACTTTACATTAATACAGAAATAGTAGAAATGTCTGCTTTTAGTATTACTTACTAATTTCGTCTACTGCCTTCCAAACTACAGTAAAGAAGCTGTTATGTAAACATGTCTTAAAAAATACAGAAATTGGCCGGCGCCGCGGCTCACTAGGCTAATCCTCCGCCTAGCGGCGCTGGCACACCGGGTTCTAGTCCCGGTCGGGGCGCCGGATTCTGTCCCGGTTGCCCCTCTTCCAGGCCAGCCCTCTGCTGTGGCCAGGGAGTGCAGTGGAGGATGGCCCAGGTGCTTGGGCCCTGCACCCCATGGGAGACCAGGAAAAGCACCTGGCTCCTGGCTCCTGCCATCGGATCAGCGCGGTGCGCCGGCCGCAGCGCGCCGACCGCGGCGGCCATTGGAGAGTGAACCAACGGCAAAGGAAGACCTTTCTCTCTGTCTCTCTCTCTCACTGTCCACTCTGCCTGTCCAAAAAAAAAAAGAAAAAAAGAAAAAAAGAAAAAAAAAATACAGAAATAGGGGAGAATGTTGTTGCACAGCAGGTTAAGCCCCTTCTTGGGGCTGTATCCCATATCAGAGTGTCTTGGATTGAGTCCTGCCTCCACTTTCAATCCAACTGCTAGTGTACACCTTGGGAGGCAGCAGGTAATGAGTCAAGTACTTGAGTCCCTGCCAACTATTTGGGGCACTCCAATGGAGTTCCTGACTCCTGGCTTAATCCTGGCCCAGTAATTGCTGTTGTAGGCATTTGAAGAGTAAATGAACAGACAAGGAAAATCACTCTGTCTCTGTGTGTGTATTGTGGTGTCTGTTTTTCACTCCCTCTCTCACTCTGCCTATCAAATATTTTCTTAAAAATGGGGGGAGGAGAGGGCTGGTGCCATGGCACAGTAGATTAATCCTCCGCCTGTGGTGCTGGCATCTCATATGGGCACTGGTTCCAGTCCCAATCCAGCTCTCTGCTATGGCCTGGGAAAGCAGTAGAAGATGGCCCAAGTCGTTGGGCCCCTGCACCCACATGGGAGATCAGGAAGAAGTGCCTGGCTCCTGGCTTTGGATCAGCGCAGCTCCAGCTGTTGTGGCCATTTGGGGAGTGAACCAACAGAAGGAAGACCTTTCTCTCTGTCTCTCCCTCTCCTATAACTCTACCTCTCAAATAAAATAAATAAAATCTTTAAAAAAAAAAAAAAAGCTATTTGCTAAAATCCAGCATTGATTCAGCATTCTTTTGCTACATCACTAGAAAAATATGTTGACTATGAGAAAACTGTTCCCAAACATTACTTTAAAAAGGATATCAGATACCTGATCTGTATTAGTTGATCTGTAATAATTATAACTAATGATTACCTTCAAAGTGAAATTTTTAAGGAACTAAAAATCTATACACATACTACTCAGTTTCTGATTATAAAAGTTGTATGTAGAGGCCGGCGCCATGGCTCACTTGGTTAATCCTCTGCCTGCAGTGCCAGCACCCTGGGTTCTAGTCCCGGTTGGGGCGCCAGATTCTGTCCCAGTTGCTGCTCTTCCAGGCCAGCTCTCTGCTGTGGCCCGGGAAGGCAGTGGAGGATGGCCCAAGTGCTTGGGCCCTGCACCCGCATGGGAGACCAGGAGGAAGCACCTGGCTCCTGGCTTCGGATCAGCGCGATGTGTCGGTCACAGCGCGCCGGCCACAGTGGCCATTGGAGGGTGAACCAACGGCAAAAAGGAAGACCTTTCTCTCTGTCTCTCTCTCTCACTGTCCACTCTGCCTGTCCAAAAAAAAAAAGAAAAAAAGAAAAAAAGAAAAAAAAAATACAGAAATAGGGGAGAATGTTGTTGCACAGCAGGTTAAGCCCCTTCTTGGGGCTGTATCCCATATCAGAGTGTCTTGGATTGAGTCCTGCCTCCACTTTCAATCCAACTGCTAGTGTACACCTTGGGAGGCAGCAGGTAATGAGTCAAGTACTTGAGTCCCTGCCAACTATTTGGGGCACTCCAATGGAGTTCCTGGCTCCTGGCTTAATCCTGGCCCAGTAATTGCTGTTGTAGGCATTTGAAGAGTAAATGAACAGACAAGGAAAATCACTCTGTCTCTGTGTGTGTATTGTGGTGTCTGTTTTTCACTCCCTCTCTCACTCTGCCTATCAAATATTTTCTTAAAAATGGGGGGAGGAGAGGGCTGGTGCCATGGCACAGTAGATTAATCCTCCGCCTGTGGTGCTGGCATCTCATATGGGCACTGGTTCCAGTCCCAATCCAGCTCTCTGCTATGGCCTGGGAAAGCAGTAGAAGATGGCCCAAGTCGTTGGGCCCCTGCACCCACATGGGAGATCAGGAAGAAGTGCCTGGCTCCTGGCTTTGGATCAGCGCAGCTCCAGCTGTTGTGGCCATTTGGGGAGTGAACCAACAGAAGGAAGACCTTTCTCTCTGTCTCTCCCTCTCCTATAACTCTACCTCTCAAATAAAATAAATAAAATCTTTAAAAAAAAAAAAAAAGCTATTTGCTAAAATCCAGCATTGATTCAGCATTCTTTTGCTACATCACTAGAAAAATATGTTGACTATGAGAAAACTGTTCCCAAACATTACTTTAAAAAGGATATCAGATACCTGATCTGTATTAGTTGATCTGTAATAATTATAACTAATGATTACCTTCAAAGTGAAATTTTTAAGGAACTAAAAATCTATACACATACTACTCAGTTTCTGATTATAAAAGTTGTATGTAGAGGCCGGCGCCATGGCTCACTTGGTTAATCCTCTGCCTGCAGTGCCAGCACCCTGGGTTCTAGTCCCGGTTGGGGCGCCAGATTCTGTCCCAGTTGCTGCTCTTCCAGGCCAGCTCTCTGCTGTGGCCCGGGAAGGCAGTGGAGGATGGCCCAAGTGCTTGGGCCCTGCACCCGCATGGGAGACCAGGAGGAAGCACCTGGCTCCTGGCTTCGGATCAGCGCGATGTGTCGGTCACAGCGCGCCGGCCACAGTGGCCATTGGAGGGTGAACCAACGGCAAAAAGGAAGACCTTTCTCTCTGTCTCTCTCACTGTCTAATTCTGCCTGTCCAAAAAAAAAATATATATATATGTAGAACAGGTGCTGGGTGTAACAGTTAAGACATCCCATATTGGAGTGCCAGATTCAAATCCTGGCTGTGCTTTTGATTCCAGCTTCCTGCTGCTGCACACCCTGGGAGTCAGCAGGAGATGGCTCAAATTGTTGGGCTGCTTCCTTCCATGTGGGAGACATGGGTTGAGCCTTCACTCCTGGCTTTGGCCTGGGCTGGCCTTAGTTGTGTGATTTGGGGAGTGAACCAGCAGATGAGAGATCTCTATCTCTGCCTTTCCAATAAATGAATAAATAACATTTTAAAAAGTTATGAATAGCTGACGCCACGGCTCACTTGGCTAATCCTCTGCCTGCGGCGCTGGTACCCCGGGTTCTAGTCCTGCTCGGGGCACTGGATTCTGTCCTGGTTGCTCCTCTTCCAGTCCAGCTCTCTGCTGTGGCCCAGATGTGCAGTGGAGGATGGCCCAAGTGCTTGGGCCCTGCACCCGCGTGGGAGACCAGGAGGAAGCACCTGGCTCCTGGCTTCAGATCAGCGCAGCGCGCTGGCAGTGGCGGCCACTAGGGAGGTGAACCAATGGAAGGAAGACCTTTCTCTCTGTCTCTCTCAGTGTCTAACTCTGCCTGTCAAAAAAAAAAGTTATGAATAAAAAATATTAGCTTAAAATTATACTATTTATTAACTTTCTTTTCTCTCCCTGCTCTCCATCAATAAAAAAGGAACGTGATATGGACAGAAAAAAGATTGAAGAATTAATGGAAGAAAATATGACTTTGGAAATGGCACAGAAACAAAGTATGGATGAATCATTACATCTTGGCTGGGAGTTGGAACAGATTTCCAGAACTAGTGAACTTTCTGAAGGTATTCTTGTTTTTGTTTTATTTAAATAAATAAATGGATAAAGTAAGTTGTATTTATGTTGAGATTTCTGTATGTTTTATTGCAGTTTTTTGTTTTCCCTAGCTTGAGATATCTCAGAAAGCCACCTGTCTCCCTAGATATTATTTCACATTGTACTTCATTATTTCTGCTTATTTAAGTCTAGTCCATAGCTTTACATGTCTTCAATTCAATTTTATAAATGTAATAAAGGATTTGATTGGTTGATTAAGCACTATTTTAATACCATAAGAGGCTATAATACTTATTTATTAATTTTTGAGAAATTTAGCTATCTAGTAAGTAGCACACAAAATTCATATTAGTTGTTCAACATGTTCTTTCAATGTAGGCCAACTTAAATAAGAAGCCAAAACATAGTAGGAATATGTACTCAAAATAAAGGAAGGCCAGCGCCGTGGCTCACTAGGCTAATCCTCCGCCTGCGGCGCTGGCATTCCGGGTTCTAGCCCTGGTTGGGGCGCCGGATTCTGTCCCAGTTGCTCCTCTTCCAGTCCAGCTCTCTGCTGTGGCCTGGGAAGGCAGTGGAGGATGGCCCAAGTGCTTGGACCCTGCACCCGCATGGGAGACCAGGAGGAAGCACCTGGCTCCTGGCTTCGGATCGGCACAGCACGCCGGCCATAGCGGCCACTTGGGGGGTAAACCAATGGAAAAAGGAAGACCTTTCTCTCTCTCTCTCTCTCTCTCTCTCTCTCTCTCTCACTGTCTAACCCTGCCAGTCAAATAAATAAATAAATAAAATAAAGGAAGTCAGGGATCTTTATGGCTGCTTTCCTAATATATATATAAAATCTCCATTATGAGATTACACCTGCCATCCAGTCCAACCCAATTATATCCCTGAAATAATGAGACTCACAGAGACTGGCATTGTGATGTAGCAGGTTAAGCCAGCATTCCATATTAGTGCCAGTTTGAGTTGTGGCTGCTCTACTTCCAATCCAGCCTCTGCTATGGTCTGGGAAAGCAGTAGAAGATGGCCCAAGTTGTTGGGCCCCTGCACCCACCTGAGAGATCTGGAAGAAGCTCCTGGCTCCTTGCTTCAAATCGGCCCAGTTCCAGCCATTGAGGCTGTTTGGGGAGTTAACCAGTGGATGGAAGATCTCTCTCTCTCTACCTCTGCCTCTCTCTAACTCCGCCTTTTAAACAAATAAATATTAAAAAAAAAACAAAAACAAAAACAAAAACAAAACTTGATTTGAGAGGCAGAGATGGAGACAGGTGTATAGAGTTCATTTTCCAACACTTGCAATGGCTGGGGCTGGGCAGAGGCAGAAACCAGGAGCCTGGAACTCAATCCAGGTTTCCCATGTAGGGGCAGGGACCCAACTATTTGAGTCATCATCTGCTGGCTGGCAGAATGCGCCAGGAAGCTGAAACTGGGAGTGGAGCTGGAATGTGAACCTAGGCTCTCTAATATAAGATGTGGCCATTCCTTGGGTCCCTATACCTGCGTGGGAGACTCAGAAGAAGCTCCTGGCTCCTGGCTTCGAATCAGCCCAGTTCTGGCCGTTTGGGGAGTGCTTAGTGGATGGAAGACCTCTCTCTCTTTGCTTCTGCCTTTCTGTAACTCTGCCTTTCAAGTAAATAAATAAATAAATATTTTTAAAAGATTTATTTTAAGAAATTAGACTAGTTCTTTAATTCCCAAGTTACCCAACATTAGATTGTTTTACCAAGTATTTATTAAATACCTACCATGTGTAACATACTATACGAGGCCCAGAAGATAGAGTGGTGAGGTAGACATAAACTCAGATAGTTTGTAGTCTGGAATTTGCAGAATAATTACTTTTACAGAGCACTCATTATTTTCATTAGGTTTTTTTTTTTTTTTTTTTTACAATTGAGAATCCAAATTCTGGGGCTCCATGTACTGACTACATAGTAAATGATGATTTTCAGTCAATGAATTTACAAAGATGTTTTACTTAAAAACATTTGTGGAAGTTTTTTATTGTATTTTTTTGTAAATGGAGTTATTAAAAAAAATTCAGATTGAATGTTTTCTACTACTGAAGAGTTGAATCAGTTAAGAGTTTCCCCACCTAGATAGTAACAGAATAACAAGTACTAAGTACCTTCTATGGTTGTTGTCAGAATTAAATTTGTTAATATTTGTGAAGCCCCTGGAAAAGTACCTGGTCTGTCGTAATCATTCAAATGTTAATTACTGTTATCACTACATCACAATTTTTTAAAATTTTATTTTCATTTTATTTGAAAGGTAGAAAGAGATGGATAACTTATTTACTGGTTCACTTCCTAATGCCTACAACAGCCAGGCCTGGGCCAGGCTGAAGCCAGAAGCCCATGACTCCATTCAGGTCTCCCATATGGGTGGCAGGGACACAACTGCTGAACCCTCACCTGCTGCCTTCCCGGATGCACATTAGCAGGAAGCAGGATTAGAATACAGAAGCCAGCACTCAAAGTAGGCACTCCAGTATAGGATGCCTATATCCCAGGAACTACTTTTTTTTAAGATTTATTGTATTTATTTGAAAGGCAGAGTTACACAAAGAGGTAGAAACAGAGTTCTTCCATCTGCTGGTTCACTTCCCGAATGGCTGCAATGACTAGGGCTGGGCCAGTCAGAAGCCAGGAACCAGGAGCTTCTTGTGAGGCAGCTTCTTCTGGGTCTCACATGTAGGTAGAGAGGCCCAAGCACTTGGGCCATCCCCTGCTGCTTTCCCAGGTACATTAACAGGGAGCCGAATTGGAAGTGGAGCTGCCAGGACTCAACCCAATGCCCATATGGGATGCCGGCACTGCAGGCCAGGGCTTAACCTGCTGCACCATGGTTCCTCTCAGGAACTTCTTAAGTGCTTTGCCAAACACCTGCCCCTCACAGTTGTTTTGTAATGCTGTTAGTTTGGGTTATAAAACAGAATACTCCTTTTAATGTGGCATAGTTTTTTTAATTATGCAAGGAAATTTCTTACTATAAAATGTGTATGGTTTGGAAAAATATAAAGGAAATAAAAGTTGCTAAAAGTTTTTAAATCAAATTTTATAAAAGTTGTTTCAGAAATTTTCCTCACAGACTCATGTATTTTAAACATCACAAAATCAGTATATAATTCATGTTCCTTTAGTCACCTAAGATTACAGCATAAGCACTCTCCTGTGTTGTTAAAAATATGTCGTAAGCTTTTTTTTTCTTTTCCAAATGTTTTTATTTCTGTGAGAGACCAAAAGACAGAGAGAACTCCTGTTTTCTGCATCACACCCCAAATGACCCACAATTGCAGGGGCTGGGCCAGAGCCAAGAGCCAGGAACTCAATCCAGATCTCCTACATGGTTGACAAGGACCCAACTACTTTAGACATCACCCCTGCCTCCTAGGGTCTTTATAAGCAGGAAGCTGGAATTGAAGCGTTGCCAGGATTCACAGCCACACACTGCAATATGATCTCAACTATTAGACCAAGTATCCACCCCATAAACATCCTTTTTAATTCATAATCTGACTTGCAACTTGACTGAAGCATAGGCATAGGATTGCAGGTATTACTAATGCATGTCATGTTTGGGATATGAGTGCAAAAGCACAGGCAAAAAAAGCAAAACTAGATATATGGGATTACATGAAACTGAAAAAGCATCTGCACAGCAAAAAACAGCATAGTAAAAGGACAACTTACAGAATGGGAAACTGTATTTGCAAACTGTATATCTGGTAAGGATTTAGCACTCAAAATATATAAGGAACTCAATAGCAAGAAAACAAATAGCCCTATTTCAGAACTGCCAAAGAACTTGAATAGACATTTCCCAAAAAAATATACAGGTGATCAACAAATATATGAAAAGATCCTCAATATCACTTATCATTAGTTAAATATACATTAAAAACCACAATGAGATAGTATCTCATGTTTGTTAAAATGTATGTTGTCAGGACCACACAGTCACCCAGCAGATTAAGCCACCATCCCATATGGGCATCGGTTCAGGTCCTGGCTGCTCTACTTCCAATCCAACTCCCTGCTAATAAACCTGGGAAGGCAGCAAAAGATGGCCCAAGTGCTTGGACCTCTGCACCAAAGTGGAGACCCAGAAGAAGCTCTTGGCTTTAGCCTGTCCCAGCCCTGGCCTTTTGACTGGGGAATGAGCCAGCGGACGGAAGATCTCTCTCTCTCTCTCTCTCTCTCTCTCTCTCTCTCTCTCTCTCTCTCTCTCCCCCCCTCCCTCCCTCCCCCACCCCCCCCCATGACTCTGCCTTTCAAATAAATAAATAAATCTTTTTAAAAAGAGAGTGTATATTGTCAAAAAGGCAAAGATAGCAATTATTGGTAAGGATGTGAATAGGGAGCCTTGCACACAGTTGGTGAGAGTGTACATTGGTACAGCCATTATGGAAAACAGAATGAAGTTTCCCCCTCAAAATTAAAAAGGAACAGGCATTTGGCTTCGTGTTTAAGGTACTAATTAATATACCCACATCCCACATCAGAATATCTGATATTCCATCCCCAGCTCTGGCTCCTGATTTGAGCTTCCTGCTAATGCAGATCTTGGGAAGCAGCAGTGATGGCTCAAGTACTTGGGTTCCTGCCAGTCATGTGGGAGACGTGGATTCAATTTTGGATTTCCACCTTGACCCTCTGGCCATTATGGTTATTTGGGGAGTAAACCAGTGGATGGGAGTACTCTCTTGTTTGTTCTCTCTCTCCCTCCCCTTGCCTCTTTCAACCTCTCGATTTTAAAAAATAATAGATTTTTAAAGATGTTGTTTCTGAAAAAATATTATAAAATTTAAAAATATAAAACTGCTTATGTGCCAGCAGTCTCACTCCTGGAATATGAAATCAGTATGTGAAATAGGTATCTGCAGCCCCGTATTCATAACAGCATCACTTACAATAGCCAAGATGCAGAATCAGTCTTTGTGTCTGACAATGGTAAAATGTGGCATACAAACGTATTCATGATGGTGTACTAATCAGCCTTCAAAAAGAAGGAAATTGTCTCCTTTACAACAACATTGGTGTACCTGAATGATACTGCATTATGAAATAAGCCAGACACAAAAAGACTAGTAGTGCATGATCTCACTTATATGTGGAATCTAAAACAGTTCAGCTCAGTAACAGAGATAAAATAGTGGTTACCAGAGGCTAATGGGTAAGGAAAAGTTGGTCACAGGACACAATTTAAATTTGATAGGAGGGGCCGGTGCCGTGGCTCACTAGGCTAATCTTCCGCCTTGCAGCACCGGCACACTGGGTTCTAGTCCCTGTTAGGGCACTGGATTCTGTGCTGGTTGCCCCTCTTCCAGGCCAGCTTTCTTTTATGGCCTGGGAGTGCAGTGGAGGATGGCCCAAGTCCTTGGGCCCTGCACCCCATGGGAGACCAGGAGGAGAACCTGGCTCCTGGCTTCGGATCAGCGCGATGTGCCAGCTGCAGCGCACCGGCCACGGTGGCCATTGGAGGGTGAACCAACAGCAAAAGGAAGACCTTTCTCTCTCTCTCTCTCTCTCTCTCTCTCACTATCCACTCTGCCTGTCAAAAAAAAATTTTTTTTTGATAGGAGGGAGGACATTTGGTGTAGGGCTTAAAAACACTGCTTGGGACACCTGTATTCCACCTAGGATTGCCTGGTTTGAGTCCTGGCTATTCCATTTCTAATTCAACTTCCTGCTAATGAGTACCCAAGTACTTGGGTCTCTGCTACCCATGTGAGAAATCAAGGTAGAGTTCCAGGCTCTTGGCTTTGGCCTGGCTGGTTGAAGGCATTTGGAGAGTGAAGCAGTAAATGGATCTCCCTGTCTGTCTATCCTCTGTCCTTCAAATAAAATGAAAGCAATTTTTAAAAAAATAAATAAGTTAGGGCAAGCATTGTGAAGTCTCAGGTTAAAACCGCTGCCTGCAATGTTGGCATCCCATTTGAGTGCCAGTTCATGTTCCAGCTGCTCCACTTCTGACCCAGTTCCCTGCTGATGGCTTGGGAAAATGCAGAAGATAGTTCAAATGTTTGGGCCCCTGCCACCCATGTGGGAGACCTGGAAGAAGCTCCTGGCTTCAGCCTGACCCAGTCCTTACTGTTGTGGCCAGCTAGGGAGGCCAGCAGATGGACAATCTCTCTCTCTCTCTCTCTCTCTTTCTCTTTCTCTTTCTCTTTCTCTTTCTCTTTTTCTCTTTCTCTTTCTCTTTCTCCTTCTCCTTCTCCTTCTCCTTCTCCTTCTCCTTCTCCTTCTCCTTCTCCTTCTCCTTCTCCTTCTCCTTCTCCTTCTCCTTCTCCTTCTCCTTCCCCTCTATTCCTCCTTCCTCCCAGTTTCTGACTTTTAAATAAATAAATAAATTTTTTTTTTGAAGATAGGCATGTCTTTAAAAAAGTGAATAGTTTCCATAATATCTGTTGTGCATCATGATAACTATAGTAAACAACAATCTATTGTGTAGTTTAAATTACTAAGAAAGTAGATTTTAAGTGTTCTTAGAACAACAAAAAATAAGAGAGTTGATATATGTGTTAAAAAGCTTGATTTTGCCATTCTACAATATAAACATATGTCCAGGCATCATGTTTTATACCATTAATGTATACAGTTTTTACATGTCAGTTAAAAAATAAAATGTATCAGTAAGTATTGATAGCATAAAAACTATGTGAAAAGAGATACAACTGGAAGTTTAATAAAACCTTGTTCAATGAATTCGAAATGTAAAGAATTTTATAACAGCTTTTTTGTTTTAAAGAGGTTTATTTATTTGAAAGGCAGAGTTAGAGAGAGATTTTCCCTTTGCTGATGTACCCCACAAAGGCCGCAATGGCCAGGGCTGGGCCAGGCCAAAGCTCTGAGCCATGAACTCCACTGAGTCTTGCACATGGATGACAGGGTCTTAAGCACTTGGACCATTTCTGCCACCTTTCCCAGGGACATTAGCTGAGAGCTGGATGGGAAGCAGAGCAGTCAGGATATGAACTGGCGTCCATATGAGATACTGGCACTATGCCACAGTGCTGGCCCCATAACAACTTTTTTATCATTCTTCAACTATAACTGAAGAAAATTATGAGTGTGTTAATTTTTCTGTAGATTACACCATTATATATGTATTTTGAATAAACACTGCATCTTGACATTTAAAATTTTTTAATATGAAATAAGTTTGTTTTTTGTTAAAGTATCTAATTCAGGTAATGCTATTCTCAGGAAATGATGTAATCTGTTTTTATGCTATGTTTTGACATCACTGATAAGACAAAACCAAAGGAATGATGATAGAAATGGAAAATAAGATCTTAAAATAATTTCATTTTGCCTAGAATATGCACATTGGGCTTTTATCCAAAATGAAGCTAGTGCTGTATTTATTTTCAAAACTGATTTTTAAACCTTCATTATTTACCAATTAGAACAATGTATTCTATAAACTTATAGTTAAATTAAAATCATTTGATTAAATAAGTGGGTTCCAAATGTCAAAGAAAAAAGATTTAAGCAACTAATAAGAATTGCAGTGACTACTCAGTATATCAGGTTTTAGTAAAATATTACTATTCATGACCAATAAAACAAAAGCTAGAAGTTAAAATTGAAGCTTGGCCGGCACCACGGCTCAATAGGCTAATCCTCCACCTAGCGGCGCCGGCACACCGGGTTCTAGTCCCAGTCAGGGCGCTGGATTCTGTCCCGGTTGCCCCCCTTCCAGGCCAGCTCACTGCTATGGCCCAGGAGTGCAGTGGAGGATGGCCCAAGTGCTTGGGCCCTGCACCCATGGGAGACCAGGAGAAGCACCTGGCTCCTGCTGTTGGATCAGCGCGGTGCGCTAGCCACAGCGTGCCAGCCGCGGCAGCCATTGGAGGGTGAACCAAGGGCAAAAGGAAGACCTTTCTCACTGTCTCTTTTTCTCACTGTCCACTCTGCCTGTCCAAAAAACAAAAAACAAAAAAAAAAATTGAAGCTTTCTGTACTTTGAAGTTTGCTTGCATACCTAATTTTGAAGAGGATGTGGGGTGTCTATATAATGTTATGTTTGCTTTTTACGAAGGAGAATTTCAAACATGTACAGAAGTTTACAGATTTAGAAATGTCCTACAATATCTTTATCCATTTCCCTCCTTGAAACTTAGGTCTTCAAAATTAAACTTATGCATCATATTTCACTTTATAAATCCTAGTATTTTTACATGAGTAAAATCTTAATGAGTCTGCTATTATAGCATTAAAAATAATTAGTTTTGACCTACTAGAGGACATTTACAGAGTAGGCAAGTTTCCTTATTTTTAAAAATGTGATGCTAAAATGTAATTACAAAGATGATTTCCCTTGGCAAAATAGATCAGATGTTGCTCTTCACACATAGGCTTAGCATGAATTACTCACTTAGAGGACAAGTTTTTCAACATGACCAGATATATTACCTTGACTTTCTCAGAATCATACTAGGGTTCTTCCTCAGACTGCCCTCCATTAATTTTTGAAAATGTGGCATAAGGTATGCTTTTTTAAAATTAATTCATTTGAAAGGCAGAATGAAGGCCGGTGCCGCGGCTCAATAGGCTAATCCTCTACCTTGCAGCGCCTGCACACCAGGTTCTAGTCCTGGTCGGGGCGCCGGATTCTGTCCTGGTTGCTGCTCTTCCAGTCCAGCTCTCTGCTGTGGCCCGGGAGTGCAGTGGAGAATGGCCCAAGTGCTTGGGCCCTGCACCCGCATGGGAGACCAGGAGGAAGCACCTGGCTCTTGGCTTCGGATCAACGCGATGCGCCGGTCGCAGCGCGCCGGCCTCAGTGGCCATTGGAGGGTGAACCAACGGCAAAAAGGAAGACCTTTCTCTCTGTCTCTCTCTCTCACACTATCCACTCTGCCTGTCAAAAGAAAAAAAAAAGGCAGAATGAAAGAATCATCTTCCATCCATTAGTTAACTCTCCTTCCAAATGGGCACAGTGGCTGGGGCTGGTCCAGGCCTGACCCAAGAGCCAGGAACTCCATTCCGGTCTCCCACATGGGTGACAGGAACCCAAGTAATTGGGGCATCCTCCACTGCCTTCGCAGTGACATTAGCAGGGAACTGGATTTGAAGTGGAGCATCTGGGACTTGAACCAGTGTGCCAATATGGGATGTTGGTGTTGTGGGTGGCAGCATGCATGGCTCACTGTGCTACAGCCCTGTATGCACTTTTGTTTCTTATTTGAGTTGCACAGTAACCCTGTGAGATGCACAAGGCAGTAACTATATTTATAAAAGTCACCTAAGATTCATTGCATTGCATTAAATTTAGTAACTTGGTCATTGTCAGATAGTTAATTTCTTATGGAACTAGGACTGGAACTCTAATGTGAATTTTGGTTTGTTTGTTTTTCCACCAGCATTCTATGAATGTGTTAAAAGTTCAGGGTTTAGCTTTTTATCTGTTTTTTACTGTAGTGTCTTATATAACCTTTTTTTAAAATAAAGTTAAGGTTCAGACAATTTAGTGCATTTACCCTCAATATTTTTAATCATAAGAAGTAATCATAGATTTACCAATGACATGTTTTTCAATGTTAATAGCACCACAGAAATCCTTGGGCCATGAGGTGAATGAGTTGACTTCAAGTAGGTTATTGAAGTTGGAGATGGAAAATCAGAGTTTGACAAAAACTGTAGAAGAGCTTCGGAGTAGCATGGAATCTGTAGAAGGCAACACTTCCAAAATACTGAAAATTGAAAAAGAAAATCAAAGGCTGAGTAGAAAGGTAAATTAAAATGTAATGTTTATTATAATATTTAAAATTATATGCAAAAGTATAAATAACACAGTTTTCTTTTTCTAAGGTACCATTACTACTGTTTATTTTTAACCTTTCCTTATCTTTTTTTTTAAGATTTATTTTATTTTATTTTGAAAGCCAAAGTTACAGAGAGAGGTAGAGACAAAGAGAGGTCTTCCATCCTGTGGTTCACTCCCCAAAGGGCAGCAACAAGTCAGGGCTGGGCCAGGCTGGAGCCAGGAGCCAAGAGTTTCTTTCAGGTCTCCCACATAGATGCAGGGGCCCAAGGATTTGGGGCATCTTCTCTTGCTTTCTCAGGTGCCTTAGCAGGGAGCTGGATTGGAAGCAGAGTGACCAGGACTCAAACTAGCCCCCATATAATATGCCAGCACTGCAGGACCAGGTCTTTGACCCACAGCGCTGGCCTCCTACTACCATTTTAACTTATGGAAATTTTCAAATATTTGTAAATGGAGATGAAGGGACCCCATACATATTTTTAGCTTCAACAGTTATTGACTTATAGCCTATTTCATTTCTACCCCCTGTCTGCTCTCCTCTTATAGCCTATCATATTTCATTTTCATCAGTGCGATGCGCTGGCCGCAGCGTGCCAGCTGCAGCGGCCATTGGAGGGTGAACCAACGGCAAAAGGAAGACCTTTCTCTCTCTCTCTCTCTCTCTCTCTCTCTCTCACTGTCCACTCTGCCTGTCAAAAATAAAAATAAATAAATAAAATAAAGCATTTTTAAAAATAAGAAAGCAGTGACATCATACTTGAAAAATGAATAATTTTTAATGACATTACATTTTTGGTCATTATTTCGATTTCCCCAGTTCTTTGTTTTTTACATTTTGTTTTAAATTTGAATCTAGATCATATCAATACATTCAATTAATTAATTTCTGTGTCCCCTAATGTCTGTTTATTGTAGTCTTTAAGGTCCCTCATTTTTCTTACCAATTTTTCTATTGAGGGTACTGTTGTCTCTCTTTTTTTTTTTTTTTTTTTTTTTTTGACAGGCAGAGTGGACAGTGAGAGAGAGAGAGAGAGAAAGGTCTTCCTTTGCCGTTGGTTCACCCTCCAATGGCCGCCGCGGACGGCGCACCGCACTGATCCGATGGCAGGAGCCAGGTATTTATCCTGGTCTCCCATGGGGTGCAGGGCCCAAGGACTTGGGCCATCCTCCACTGCACTCCCTGACCACAGCAGAGAGCTGGCCTGGAAGAGGGGCAACCGGGACAGAATCCGGCGCCCCGACCGGAACTAGAACCCGGTGTGCCGGCGCCGCAAGGCGGAGGATTAGCCCAGTGAGCCACGGAGCCGGCCAAGTACTGTTGTCTTTCTGCCAGATTTTTCCCACCGTCTAGATTTTGATGATTGCCTACTTCTTGTATCACATAACAACTTCTTTTGCTTCCTATATTTCTTTGTATGTAGAGGCTTAATCAGATTAAATTTAATTTTTAGTAAGTTTTCATAAAAAGTATTTATTTTAATGGGAAGGCAGATGTCTGCTTTTTTCTCTTTTAGTGGTATTGTCATGGAAAATCAATGCTTATCACAGTTGATTAATTAAAGGTTAATATCTTGATATTACCATTGTATCATTCCTTCATAATTTTGTGGTTGGATTAATCACAATAAACAAACTTATTTTGAAGAACTACTGATTTTTTTAAAAGCTATCAGAGGAACAGCTCATATGGGAAAAGCAAGATAAATGTTTCTTTCCATTTATTTACCTTTTTTCAAATAATGAGTCAGTTGTCTTATATCCTCCTGAGATAACTCATCAGTAAGATTGTTTTAGTATAATAAAATCATGGGTTTAAAAATATTTGAAATGTTTCAATCCAGTAGATTTTTTTTTATAGTGTTCCAACTTGACTAATGGGAGTCTAACTGTGGGATGCTCAGATTGATTCAAGGCTCCTGACCTGACCTAACCCTGGCTCAGTTCTGGCTGTTGTAGGCATTTGGGGAGTGAACTAGTTAATGGAAATCTCTCTCTCTCTCTCTCTCTCTCTCTCTCTCTCTCTCTCTCTCTCTCTCTCTGCCTTCCAAATAAATAAAAGTTAAAAATGTAAAAAGCTGCTTCTTGAATCCTTATGACACATCCTTTGCAGTTTTAAGAGCTTTGTTGCTTTCTGACATGACAAAATGTTACAGACTCATCATTAACATTTTTTGTCCTGAACTGGAAGTCCTTGTTCCTGTTAGTGTGAGACGGTATTTAGAGACTACAGATTAGTTATGAAAGCTGAATTTTAATTAACCTTTAGTTGAACAGAAACATTACCATAATGTTAAAGTAGGAGACATCATTTAGAACTTAGAATTGTTTTTACTGTCATTCTTAATTGGTCCTGTAAGGTGTAGTTTCATTTTGGAATTAGCTTTGAAATCTAATTAATAAATTCTTAGTCCAGCAATTTTTGCTCAATTTATTGTGTGAAAGATGTTTAACTTGAATCCTATTGATGTAAAACAACAAATGCACTCAGTTAAATGACTTGTTTTGTATTTCCATCTATAATGGGAAACCCAGATTAACCAGTTATTAAAAGCTAAAAGCTTCTTAAACATGTTAATACTGAGTTACCAATTAAGATTTGTGACTTGATGCTTTTGAGTTGTTACTGAAAGATTGTTTTCCATGTATAGTTATCTTCCACTGAAGTTAAGATAAAAAAGTTCAACTTATTTCATGGTTCTTCACCATTGACAAAAGGAATTAAGTAGCATTTAAATTTGAAATAGAATACCTTATAAAGTCTCCTTGTTTTTTTTTTTTTTAAAGATCTATTCGTTTATTATTTGAAAGGCAGAGTAGCGGAGGCAGAGAGAGAGAGAGAGAGAGAGAGCACGCAAGCGCTCTTCGATCTGCTGGTTCACTCCCCAAAAGGATGTAACAGCCCGAACTGGGCAGATCTGAAGCTGGAAGCCAGGAGCTTCTTCTGGGTCTTCCACGTGGGGGCAGGGGCACGAGGACTTGGGTCATCTTGTACTGCTTTCCCAGGCCATAGCAGAGAGCTGGATCAGAAATGGAGCAGCCAGGACTTGAACCAGGGCCCATATGGGATGCGGGTACTGCAGGTGGTGGCTTTACCTGCTACACCACAGCACTGGCCCCTCTCCTTGATTTTTTGATTTTTACCTGGTTGGAATATGATATATAATGGAGCATTGATAGTTTAGAATATTTGTATCTTGAATTTGCTATTCCAAATTTAATATGCACCAGCACTATTATATATATATTTTTTATTTATTTTTTTTTATTTTTTATTTTTTTGACAGGCAGAGTGGACAGTGAGAGAGAGAGACAGAGAGAAAGGTCTTCCTTTGCCGTTGGTTCACCCTCCAATGGCTGCCGCGCTGCGGCCAGCACACCGCACTGATCCGATAGCAGGAGCCAGGAGCCAGGTGCTTTTCCTGGTCTCCCATGGGGTGCAGGGCCCAAGCACCTGGGCCATCCTCCACTGCACTCCCTGGCCACAGCAGAGGGCTGGCCTGGAAGAGGGGCAACCGGGACAGGATCCGGCACCCCGACCGGGACTAGAACCCGGTGTGCCGGCGCCGTTAGGCGGAGGATTAGCCTAGTGAGCCGTGGCGCCGGCCACTATTATATATTTTTAATATGTTGTTGAAAATAAATTTACACCTAAGATGAGTCTTTGCTACAGCTTTGTTCTTTTTTTTCTAGTATTATTTTCTCTTTTTTTCTTTCCTTTTTATTTTAAACCAGTACCTTATTGTTTGCTCATTAAACTTATACCACCTGATTTTCTTCTTTTCCTTTATATATTTTATGTTTTTTCCTACTTTTTGCTCACTGAAACTCCTTGACTAAATTTTACTTTATAAATCCATTCAAGCCAATCTATATTATATGTATTTGATTTCAGTAAGATATTATGGTCCTCATGTTGCATGTTATTATCATTTATTCAGCTGAATTTCCCTTTGTATTTAGAAAAAGAAATTGATCCTAAAACATGCCTGAAGATGAAAAGACAATCATGTGCATACTTTATACAGTTTACTAGAATTATCTTGGAATGTTGCTTGATTTTCTGTTCTCAATTCTTAAATTTCATCATGTGTATATTAAAACTGTATCAGTGATTATCTTCTATTTTGACATGTTCTACTGTTGATAACTATTTAATATGTTCTTTGTGATTTTATCTTCTCTAGGTTGAAATGCTTGAAAATGAGATTATTCAAGAAAAGCAGAGTCTTCAAAATTGTCAGAATTTAAGCAAAGATCTAATGAAGGAGAAAGCTCAGCTTGAAAAAACAATTGAAACACTTAGAGAAAATTCAGAGAGACAGGTTCATAAATTTCTTACTAAGAAAGCAATATATTTTAAATGTGTTAACAAAGGTTATTTTAAAATATATGTAAACAAAATGTTCATATAGCATTGAAGGGAATTATTTTAGATTTTTTTTTTTTCAGATTTTAAAGTAACTACTGCAGTCTGACCTTATTTTCAGTTTTGCCTTCTGAGGTTTCAGCTTGATTTACACTCAATCACCTGTAGTTTGAAAATATTAAAGGAAAATAAGTAATTAAACATTAAAGGAGATAGATAATTCAAAAAGTTTTAAATTAGGTGCCGTTCTCAGTACTGTAATAAAACCTCATGATAGCCTACTCTATCCTGCCCAGGACATAAATCATCCCTTTGGCTTGTTTATACTGTATGCTACCTGCCCATTTATCACTTAGTAGCCATTTGATATCAGACTGACTGTCGTGGTATCACAGTACTTCTGATCAAGTAACCCTTATTCTACTGAGTAATGGCCCCAAAGTGCAAGGGTAGTGGTGCTGCCAAAAACAACTACTTCTAAGTGAAAAGGTAAAAAATTCTTGACATAATAAGGAAAGAAGAAACATTGTATGCTGAGGTTGCTAAGATCTATGATGAGTAATTGTTACTAATCTGTTAGTATGTATAATTTTTAAATTTTACCATATGTATGTGTAGGAAAAAAAAATAGTATATCTGGGTTTCAATTCTATCTATGATTTCAGGCATCCACTGAGACTCCAGATACATTTTTATATCCTATGTGGTATAGGAAAGTTAAAAGGGAGCTTATGATTTTTAAATTACCAATGTGCTTAGTAAGCATCTAGTATAAAACTTTTCAGTAACAGTACTCTCACCATAGTAAGAGAGAGAAGCATGGTGACAGCACTCATTTGCAGTACTTCACATTTGCTTTCCAGTGTTTATTGGTCATTCGTATTTTGTTTGAGGAAGCTAAGAACTAGATTGGTTGACATGGCATTTTGAAATATCTGGTTTTTTTACTTGTTTATATCATCAGATATAGCTCCCAGACCACCTATAAAAATACAGGTTTCTCTGGAACTTCAGAACAAAACTTCGGGTTTTTTTTGTTTTTTTGTTTTGTTTTGTTTTGTTTTGTTTTTTTGACAGGCAGAGTTAGACAGTGAGAGAGAGAGACACAGAGAGAAAGGTCTTCCTTCTGTTGTTTTACCCCCCAAATGGCCGCTACGGCCAGCGCTTTGCCACTCTGAAGCCAGGAGCCGGGTGCTTCCTCCTGGTCTCCCACGCGGGTGCAGGGCCCAAGCACTTGGGCCATCCTCCACTGCACTCCGGGGCTACAGCAGAGAGCTGGACTGGAACAGGAGCAACTGGGACAGAATCCGGCGCACCAACTGGGACTAGAACCCAGAGTGCCGGCTCCACAGGAGGAGGATTAGCCTAGTGAGCCACGGCACTGGCCCAGAACAAAACTTCTAGACTTGAGTATGAATTTCCATTTTACAAGCTTCTCATGATTAGTTAGCGCACTGAATTTTGCTAACCGTTACGTTAGGCCCTACTATAAACTAGGTGCCGTAGTTTTCAATAGTGTCAGACAATTTTGTCATTTTAATTAATGTTCTCTATTTAGAATTCTTTTGGGAAAGAAATATACACATGTATATTCTCATACACACGCATAGTATATATTTACTGAGGCCCCACTGTGTAAGCATTCTAAAAATTGTTTAATAAAAGTAAAACCTTTTGTCCTCAAGGAGGTATATGCATGTGTGTCACCTATATTGATACTTGAATTTGAAGCATGTAATTAGAAATAATCTGAAGATTATTTTTGATTAATGATACTTACATATCACTTAATCATTGCTTTAGATGTAGACTCCTTAAACACATGAACTTCGGTGACCTGGTGATAAAGGTACACAGTGGTCTTTGAGTCTATATTTTCAGAATTGAAAGCTAAAAAAAATTCCAGTGCGTTTTTATTTTCTTCTGGCCCTGTTAATTTTTGGAAAGTAAAGCCATGTAATTCACAATACTTTCTGCTCACAGTATTTTTAAATTTTTTTCCTTCTTCTTTTGAATTAGATTAAAATGTTGGAACAGGAAAATGAACATCTGAATCAAACGGTGTCTTCCTTAAGGCAGCGCTCCCAGATAAGTGCTGAAGCAAGGGTGAAAGACATTGAAAAAGAAAATAAAATTCTCCATGAATCTATCAAGGAAACGAGTAGCAAGCTAAGTAAGATTGAATTTGAAAAAAGACAAATTAGAAAAGAATTGGAACATTATAAAGAAAAAGGAGAACGAGCAGAAGAACTTGAAAATGAGTTGCATCATCTTGAAAAAGAAAATGAATTGTTACAGAAAAAGATAACTAATTTAAAAATTACCTGCGAAAAAACTGAGGCCTTAGAACATGAAAATTCAGAGTTAGAAAAAGAAAACAGAAAACTAAAGAAAACATTGGATAGCTTTAAAAACCTTACTTTTCAGTTAGAATCTCTTGAAAAAGAGAATTCCCAACTTGATGAGGAAAACTTAGAACTACGAAGAAATGTGGAATCTTTGAAGTGTGCAAGCATGAAAATGGCTCAGCTACAACTAGAAAACAAAGAACTGGAAAGTGAAAAAGAGCAACTTAAGAAAGGTTTGGAACTCATGAAAGCTTCTTTCAAGAAAACAGAACGCCTAGAAGTTAGCTACCAGGGTTTAGATACAGAAAATCAAAGACTTCAGAAAGCTCTTGAGAATAGCAATAAAAAAATCCAACAATTAGAGAGTGAGCTACAAGACCTAGAGGTGGAAAATCAAACATTGCAGAAAAACCTAGAAGAATTAAAAATATCTAGCAAAAGACTAGAACAGCTAGAAAAAGAAAATAAATCATTAGAGCAAGAGACTTCTCAACTGGAAAAGGATAAGAAGCAATTGGAGAAGGAAAATAAGAGACTCCGACAACAAGCAGAAATAAAAGATACTACATTAGAAGAAAACAATGTGAAGATTGGAAATTTGGAAAAAGAAAACAAATCTCTATTCAAAGAAATTGGTGTATATAAAGAATCTTGTACTCGTCTGAAAGAGTTAGAGAAAGAAAATAAAGAACTTGTGAAAAGAGCAACTATTGATATAAAAACTTTGGTTACATTACGTGAGGTAAATATATTCACCTAAATTTAAGGCAAAAATTTTTTATAGTTTTAACTCAAAGCTGCTTCTAAGTTTTTTGGAACCCACCAGTAATTTGCACCATCTTTTTTGTAATTCAGTACAGTTTCAGAATTAGAACTAGAAACAGCTTCATGTTTCCTACATCTGTTGATCTAAAAGTTGCATATAAATTAGTATTTTTAAAAAATTGTAGTAATAGGGCTTTCTTTTGACTTACTGACTTATTACATTGTAATTTTAAACTTTGATTTCAACATAATAAAATATTTGATCAAGATTCCTTTTGAATGCTTAGGATAATAGGAAGCAAGACAGCAACCATTTACTGAGTGCTGCCAAGTACTAGGCTAACTTCATGTAAGTTACATAAGTTTCTGGAGTGTTTATAACTACCTTTTATAGGCATTTAGAAACATTAAGTAATTTACGCAGGATCACAGAAAATAAATAAGTGACAAAGTTGGATTTCTCTATTTAAGCCCAGATCTTCAAATTCCAAAGCCCCTTGAATTTTTACCTCTAAGCCAGAGAATACAAATCAGATGTAACTTTAAAGGGCAACACTGATCAACTAGTATTTGTTGGATTTACATATTTAGAGGAATTCAGAAATTTTGGGGACTGGATTGTCACAATATCCTCTGAAGCATATTTAATTCTTTTTTTTTAATTTTTATTTTTTCCCATCCCTTTGGAATACAGTATGTGGTAACCTATTAAGTTCGATTTAAAAGTATCTTATTAGCATTCTGAGAAAAATCACATTGTGCATTCTGCAGTTCTTCCGAAGAGGTAATAAGAGGGACCTTTTTGAGATTTTTTCCTGTTGTTCTGTAGTCTTATAGAAATGAACAGCTGACTCCTTGTGCCTGAACCTCTGAGAACATCCTCTAGTCCTTCAGAACAACACCTTAGGCTTTTTCCACTGGGAGAGGGCGAGTTATGGTCAGAGAGCATTGCTTCTAGCATGTTCAGAGGAAGAAATATAGCTTAGTAGTATGCAGTGAATGAATATGTGCGGTTTTTCCTCACAGTTTTCAAAGCTAAGGTGTGTATTCACAAGTAAAGTCTCTCCTTTTTAGTTTTTAACATTAAAAAAAGTTATTAGAAAAAGAGAAGAAGGAGAAAAGTGTTTCACTAGGTTGTAACATTGGTTGGTTGACTATGAAGGTAAAGTGCAACAACGTTTCTGTTTTTCCATTTCAACTTACATGTTTTACTGGGTGGTAGTAATCACAGTCTTGGCTTACTTTCTTAGATGTTTATGTTCTTGACACTAATGTGAGTTGTATATTCCTTTTAAAATAAGGATTTGGTGAGTGAGAAATTGAAGACTCAACAAATGAACAATGATCTTGAAAAATTAACTCATGAGCTTGAGAAGATAGGTTTAAATAAAGAACGACTCTTACATGATGAGCAAAGTACTGATGACAGGTGAGTGTTAGGTCTAATTTGGAAAACAGTTGAAATTATTTTTTTTCGGAACATTAATATTCTAACTAGATATTTATGTATTTTATCCTATTGCTGAGACTTTTCTTTAAAGACAGTTCTATAATCCAAAGGCAATCTAATATAGATAGAAGAAAAACTCAAATATAAACACAATAACAGAACAGGAAAACAGGATACTACTTAGGTAGCCGGAGATCAGAGGCCACGGTTGCCTGTGAAGATGGAGTAACAATGTATTAACCACAAAAATGTCTCTCAGTCCTAAAATAACAAGTTAAGCCAATTATTTGTTTGAATCATTAACTTAAATGCCTCAGTTCTTTGATGCATTATGTTTGCAAAAATGTAGACTTGAAGAGAAATGAAGGAAAAGTATGTAGCAAAGGAAAATATACTGAGAAGCAATTAAAGTAGGAAAAAAATGTGGAAAACTTGGTCCTAACACATACTTTAAAAAAGAAAAAAAAACTCATGTATCCTTTATCTTTTTAAGATTTGTTTGTTTATTTATTTGAAAGGTAGTTGAAGAGAGGCAGAGACAGAGTTCTTTCTATCTGCTGGTTCACTCCCCAAATGGCCGCAATGGCTGAAACAGCTGATCTGAAGCCAGGAGCCACGAGCAGCTTCTGGGTCTCCCACATGGGTGCAGGGGCCCAAGCACTTGGGCCATCTTCTACTGCTTTCCCAGGCCATAGCAGAGAAATGGATTGAAAGTGGAGCAGCTGGGACTTGAACTGGCGCCCATGTGTAATGCCCGCACTGCAGGGGTGACTTTAACCACTATGCCACAGCGCAGGCCCACCCTTTATTTTTCAAAACTACCAATATACATTTAAAGGGAGTTCCTGTACTCTTATGGTAATTAGTCTGCCAAGCAGAGTTAATCTAATTTTCAAGTAGTCTACCATCTAACATTCAGCCATATGGTTCCAGATAAAATAGATGTTGTGTGTTTTTAGGAATATTGTTTTATGGCCGGCGCCGCCATAGCTCACTAGGCTAATCCTCCGCCTGCGGCACCGACACACCGGGTTCTAGTCCCGGTCAGGGCACCGGATTCTGTCCTGGTTGCCCCTCTTCCAGGCCAGCTCTCTGCTGTGGCCCTGGAGTGCAGTGGAGGATGGCCCAAGTGCTTGGGCCCTGCACCCGCATGGGAGACCAGGAGAAGCACCTGGCTCCTGCCATTGGATCAGCGTGGTGCGCTGGCCGCAGCGCTCCAGCCACAGCAGCCATTGGAGGGTGAACCAGTGGCAGAGGAAGACCTTTCTCTCTGTCTCTCTCTCTCTCACTGTCCACTCTACCTGTCAAAATAAAAAAATTTTTAAAAAAAAGGAATATTGTTTTATGTAGTCTAGACTCTAATCCATTGGAATATTTTAATTATATGAGTGATTTTTATTATCTACTCATTGTTATCTTGTATTCATATTGTATTATATAAGAAAAAAATAATACTGATTATGTGAGACTTAATATAATTTTGAGATTATTCAGAGACAGTAAAATAGACATGTTTAAAACATTTCCATAGTGAGGATAAGTAACTGGAAGTATTTGCTCTAGCAATATATATATATTCTGTCTTTCCCTCTCTCTGTGACTCTATCTCTCAAATAAATAAATGTCTTTAAACAGTCCATCTACTTCTATAAGACTATAAATTCTAGTCTTCCAAAACTAAAAGGAATATATTAGGATTTAGATCTTCCAAATTGTTTTTTTGAACATTAATTGTTGCCGTTTGACACATAGGCTGTGGTTTAGAGCTCTGCTCATTCTTATTTTTGTTGCTTCACGACCAGAAAGAGTTTTAAAGGAGAAGTGGATCAGTTAGAGATGGATAATTTAATCCAGAAACAAATTTATATATATATATATGTATACAATATATATAAATAATATATATATTAAATATAAATATATATAAAAGACTTTTGGGGTGTACAATTGCCTAGCAGTTAAAATTTGTTCCATATATGAGTGCCTGGGTTCAATACCTGGCTCCAGCTTTGGATTCTAGCTTCACACCAGTGCAGACCCTGGAAAACAGCAGGTGATGGCCCAACACCATTGCTGACACTCACATGGATGACCTGGGTTGAGTTCTTAGCCCCTTGCTTGGCCCAGGCCAAGTTGTGGCTTTTGAAGGAATTTAGGGAATGAAACAGTAGATGAAAGCTCTCTCTTGCTATGTGTGTGTGTCTGTCTGTTTCTCTGCCAATCTGTCTCTTGAGTAAATAAAGGAAAAAAGTAAAGACTTTTGTAAGACTCAGTTATAGCATTAGTATCTGTGGTCATAATTTTCTTTAAAAATAATTTTAATGATGAACTATACTACCTTTATTCTTGAACAGTAGGTACAAACTTTTGGAATCAAAATTAGAATCCACTCTTAAGAAGTCCCTTGAAATAAAAGAAGAAAAAATTGCTGCTTTAGAAGCTCGATTAGAAGAATCCACAAATTATAACCAGCAGTTGCGCCAAGAACTTAAAACAGTAAGTGATTTTCTTGGTTAGAATTTAATTGACATTTATTTTATAAATACGGACAGAGAAGTGTAAAGAAGAAAATAAAATGCAAATATCATTTTATTAATATTCTATGTCTTCCTTTTCTATAATTCTGAGTATGAAACAGATCTTTGTCATTTAGATAAGCTATAATTTATTCAATCTTATGTGTGTAATGTCCTTTATGTAGTTAGGACATATCAGAATTATAGAGATGAGAGGGGGGTTTGACAGGCTTACTTCATTGATAAAACTCTTGAGTGTAATACAGACAATTTCCTGTTGAGAATCCAAGTTAAAATTTTGTTAGAGATATAAATGTATGAATGTGAGGATACCAAGTAAAGGAAAGCAAGTGACCTCATGGATTTGAGGTGTTCTGTACATCTGCTTCTTGGGATATTTGGAATTAGTGAAATAAGCACAACAGAACTGTTTTCCCTAAGTGAGTAAATTGAAACATAAAGAACTTGCCCATTCTATAGGGTTAGGAATGATTTATTCTCCTTTTTATCATCTCTCCAGTGCCACTAAGAGTGGGCTTTATGTCAGCTAAACACTCGTATTGACAAGATTACTGCAGACCACATTAGAACCATTATATTTAGAACACTTCAAGAAATGCAAGTAAATAGCAGGGCATTGTCAGGTATCCCTCTTCCCACTAAATGGCTGTTCAAGTGCAAGGTGAGATTCACTTTGATGTGTGTGAGATAACTGTCCTGGCTTTGAGATCTCTTGCTCCACAGCAGTCATGTGTAGCAACTCCAAAGACATAGATTTAAGAACTCCATGTAAAGCAAATACCAGTTACGAGTTGGCTACACTCAAACGAAGTTCAGATATATGACTTTCTCTTGGGTATTTATAGTTCTCCTAGTCCAAATACAGTTTACCAACCAGGGATCATTTTTTCCTAAAAACATTGTTTGTTGCATTGTAAATACAGCACTCTCTTTAAAAAAAAAAAAAATCAGATTGATAGAGAAACAATTGACCAAAGATGAATTTATCATGCAGAAACGGAAAAGATTTTGTTCACCATCTGCTGTTACCATCATTGCTATTTGTCACAGTCTTTGCTGGGGCAGGGAATAGGGGAGAGTGTACAGGGGTTCTTCAAAAATTTCATGGAAAATATTTTTCTTATAAAGTTGTATTTATTTTTATTTATTGAAACACAAGCATAGAGATCTTCCATCCATTGGTTCACTCCCCAAGTGGCTGTAACATCTGAGGGTGGGTTAGGCCAAAGGTAGGTGCCAAGGAACTCTGTCCAGGTCCCCTGCATGATTGTACTTATGCCACCACTGCCTCCTCGTGTGCATATTAGCAGGAAGTTAGTATAAGAAGTGGAGCCGGGGCCGATGCTGTGGTGTAGCAGGTAAAGCCTACAGTGCCAGCATCCCAAAAGGGCACCAGTTCAAGACCCAGCTCTCGCTGTCTCTCCCTCTCTCTCTGTTTCTTGTAACTGCCTTTCAAATAAATAAAAAAAAATCTTTAAAAAAAAAAAAAAAAAAACCGAGCCGAGACTCAAACCCAGACACTCTAATAATGGGATGTGATTTGGGTGTACCAAGCAATGTGTTAGTTAACCACTGCACCAAATGCCTACCCCTTAACTCCCCTTCTTAATAAAGACATGACTCTAGATCTTTTCTAAATCTATTTTTAAAAAATATTGTTGAAATTAGTGTGAAACAAGAGACTGAAAATGATATCACTCATCTATTGTTAGGGTATTAATAGTAAAAAATAAAAATAAAAAAACCTGGAAAATGAGGACCCCAGAACACCTGTTAAATCTCTTCCCAAGCTTACATTAGGTCCATTTTGGCATATTTTTCCTTTAGTTTTATCTCATTTTTTTGTACCTCAATGGTAGCAATATTAGTTTATTACCAAGTTATAGGCTTTCATAAGTTTTTTACTAGATACAGACTATTTCAAACATTTTTATCTTTGTCTTAATATAAACTTTAGAGTGTGATAAACAAGATAAACAAGTGATTCAGGATAAAAATGATAACAATAAGTTTAAAGAGATTTATTAAGTTGAATTTGGCATTTTTGGTCATGTGAGGTGAACATGTTGTCAATACAGTAGTCGCAAGCAATAATTTATATTATCCAGGATTTTTTGGTATAATTGCAACCTATGTTATGAGAGCCATTTCAACACTAAAAAATCTTGTAGAAGATATATCCTTGATTAAATATTAAAGTGATCATATAAATAGGATTAAGTGTTAAGTTGATCATGTAAATAGGATTAAGTGTCTGGTAATAATAGAATTAAAAAGGAGTGAATGCTCCAACATGGGACAGACTCATGGAGTGCAGACTTATAGAATGACAACTGCTGTAAGTAGGATCAGCCCTTAAGACATTCTGGTCTGGCTGAAAAGCCCCCAAGAGCATTTCAGGCATGGAAAGCCAAGATACTGTTGCAAAAGATGTCCTACATGAAGCACCTCTCTTGGTGAGACCCCACTGGATACAAGTGGTCATCAAAGAAGAAGGTATTTTTCTCTGAAGTGGGGAGAGAACTTCCACTTTGCTTATGTCCTTGTCTAAATACTGACAGTCTGTGAATTCAAAAGACTTCCATAGCCTGGACAGCTCATGTCAAGAGCGCGGGTGATCACTGATGTCATACATAAGAGTGTTAATTGTTAAATTAACAACAAGGGGGCCGGTGCCATGGCTCACTTGGTTCATCCTCCACCTGCGGCACCAGCATCTCATATGGGCGCTGGGTTCTAGTCCTGGTTGCTCCTCTTCCAGTCCAGCTCTCTGCTGTGGCCTGGGAGGGCAGTGGAGGATGGCCCAGGTGCTTGGGCCCCTGCACCCACATGGGAGACCAGGAAGAGGCAGCTGGCTCCTGGCTTCGGATCAGCACAGCACCGGCCATAATGGCCATTTGGGGAGTAAACCAACGAAAGGAAGACCTTTCTCTCTGTCTCTCTCACTTACTGTCTATAACTCTACCTGTCAAATTGTGAAAAAAAAAAAAAAAATTAACAACAAGAATAACTGTGCACTAACTTCCCATGCAGGACCTCTGTCCTCAAAGAGTTGTATTATGAGAGCTAACTGTAAAACTTGTTCTCAAAGATTTATTTTGTTATAGTGTATTAAGTGGAGGGTATTCTTATGTCTCATAGGTTTTAGTTATGTCTAAATGTCCAACTCCATTGCTTATTTTCTTAGGTGCTTCCTTAATTAATGATAAAACTTGTTCTCATGGACTCTATTTTAATGTACTAAGTGGAGGATATTTTTATGTCTCATAAATTAGAGTTATGTCTAAGTGCTTGCAAAAGATGTATCATTCTTGGGTGTTTCTTCAAAGTTAATTAAGTTTTTAAAAAGTGAAATTAACTTTGAGATGAGATGACATTGAACAGCCCTTGTCTTGACTGTTGAGGTTTTTTTGTTTTGTCTTTCATGTAAATTGTTGAGCTCTTTACTTAGTATAGAGTTGATCTTCTGTGTATAAAGTTAATTGAAAATGGATCTTTGTGAAGAGTGAGACTGGGAATGGGAGAGGGAGGAGGAGGGGATTGAGAGTGGTTGGGAGGGTGGGTGTGGTGGGAAGAATCACTATATTCTTAAAGTTGTACTTATGAAATGCATGAAGTTTGTATTCCTTATATAAAATACTTTTGGGAGAAAAAAGATATATCCTTGGATTGCTCACTCCTTATAAGGTAAATTACAGTATTTGTGTATGGATCAAGCAGTATTTTTATCACTACAGTTCATTCTAGGCAGCACATTTTTCTTAAGAGGGAACACATATATAGTTATCACCTTAAGTTTAGGTATCTTCTTAAAACTAATTATTGACATGCCAGGTCTTTATTTGTTTTTTACATAGGAGTTTGTGAAATTTCTAAATTCATTATAGATAAGTTCTAAAAAGAGTTCTTAGTATTTAGCAACATATCTGTGTCCAGTTCATCTGTTCTTCAGAATAATTTTTCATCACAGAAAGTAGGATTTAAAATTACTAAATATAGTATAGAAGCATGGCACATAGGAAAGTTTATTTACATTTCTAGGAGGAAAGGATTTACATTTACATTTTTAAAAGCATAAATTGTAATTATAATCATGATCATCATACATAATTACTTATATTTTTTCAGTGTCTCATACTCACCAGATCAATGCAGAATAATTGTGAGAAATATTACTTTAATGATTTTTTTTCTCATTAAATTTTAGGTGAAAAAAAATTATGAAGCTCTAAAACAGAGACAAGATGAGGAGCAGATGGTACAGAGCTCTCCTCCATTATCCGGTGAAGATAATAAATGGGAGCGAGAAAGTCAGGAAACAACCAGGGAACTTCTCAAAGTTAAAGACAGGTTAATTGAAGTAGAAAGAAATGTAAGTAGTTTTAAATTTTTAGTAGGAATAAAGATTTTTAGAAATAAAGGATTGTTAGAAAGTTAGAAAATTTGTCTAATCTGATTTTGTAGTTTTGTCCATTTTATACTTTCTTCACTGAATTGTTTAATAGCAAGTGACTGAAGAACTAATAATTTTTGTATTTACCCTCAAATAAATCCATCAGAAAATATTGTCATCTCTATCTTGGAGGTACGACTGGTAATGATTGTATATTTGCCAGTATTGTATTTGCTGATAAAATACTTTTTCATTGTATATTTTTTTTCCTGCTCTTGAGATATCCTTTCTACTGTCAGCTATTTCTCCTATTCAATATAGACTATAGGAAACCCAAATTGAAGTGCTAAACTATAATAGTATTTCACATATATAATTGAAAAGTGGTTCAACCTCCTGGTGTCAAGATGGCATTTATAAATGTGTCAGTATTTAATATTATTCCAATGTAAATATTTTACCCTCTTATTTGAACAAAGGAATACAAGAGAACAGTACTACAACCCATCTTAAACAGCTCTGATTTTAATATGTGAATCAAATCATGATGTGCCCACATGTATATATAGCTTAAAAGTGAATGTTATCTTTGTCTTCTAATATAAAACCGATCTGTTGTGATAATCAGTGTTAACCTTTTGCATATAGGCCTTTTGCATATTAAAATGTTATTTCTTTTTCTTTTAAGATTTTATTTGAGAGGTAGAGTTACGGACAGTGGAAGGGAGAGACAGAGAGAAAGGTCTTCCGTCCGTTGGTTCACTCCCCAAATGGCCGCAATGGCTGGAGCTGCACCAATCCGAGGCCAGGAGCCGGGTGCCTCTGCCTGGTCTTCCGTGTGGGTGCAGGGCCCCAAGGACTTGGGCCATATTCTGCTGCTTTCCCAGGCTACAGCAGAGAGCTGGATTGGAAGAGGAGCAGCCGAGATTCGAACTGGTGCCCAAATGGGATGCCAGTGCCACAGACAGAGGATTAACCCAGTGCGCCAAGGCACCGGCCCCTTAAAATGTTATTTCTGTTATCTGGTGGATTTTTTTTTTTTTTTTTTTTTTTGAGAGGCAGAGTGGACAGTGAGAGAGAGACAGAGAGAGAAAGGTCTTCCTTTGCCGTTGGTTCACCCTCCAATGGCCACCACGGCCGGCGCACCGCGCTGATCCGATGGCAGGAGCCAGGATCCAGGTGCTTTTTCCTGGTCTCCCATGGGGTGCAGGGCCCAAGCACCTGGGCCATCCTCCACTGCACTCCCTGGCCATAGCAGAGAGCTGGCCTGGAAGAGGAGCAACCGGGACAGAATCCGGCGCCCCAACCGGGACTAGAACCCGGTGTGCCGGCGCCGCAAGGTGGAGGATTAACCTATTGAGCCACGGCGCCGGCTATCTGGTGGATTTTTTTGTTGATGCCCTTTTAAAATTTTTATTTATTTTCATTATATTTGAAAGACAAAGATAGAAGAGAGAGCTTCTATCCACTGGTTCACTCCCTATATTCCCACAATAACCAGGACTGGGCTGAAGCCAGCAACCCAGAATTCAATTCAGATCCCCCATGTTGGTGGCAGGGACCCAGATATTTGAACCATCACTTGCTGCCTCCTAGGATGTATGTTAGTAAGAGGCTAGAATCAGGAGAAGAGCCAGAACTTGAACTTAGCACCCTGATAAGGGATGTAAGCATCTCAGACAGGGTCTTAACCACTGCACCAGATGCCCACCATTGTGGATAGTTTTTGATGCTAATTTTTTAATGAATTTTTAAAAAAGATTTATTTTGAAAGAGTTCAGAGAGAGAAGGAGAGACAGAGAGATATATCTTCCATCTGCTGGTTCACTTTCCAGATGGCCTCAATGGCTGTGGCTGAACCATTCAGGAGCCAGAAGCTTCTTCTGGGTTTCCCATGTGGGTGGCACAGGCCTAGGTAATTGGGTCAACATCCACTGCTTTCCCAGGCCATTAGGAGGGAGCTGGATTGGAAATGGAGCAGCCAGGATATGAACTGATGCCTATATGGAATGCCAGTGCCATAAGCAGCAGCTTTGCCAGCTGTGCCACAATGCCTACTTCATGAATTTTTATTTAGAAGTAATCCAGAATATATAATACCCATGACAAGCATTTTAATATATATCACTAAATAGAATGATCTGTGATTTGTATAATAATTCACCTGTTTGTAAAATTGAAATATGGCTATATATACTGGAAAAATTGAAATGGTACATTTCATTTGGAGATGCTCCAGAAGTCCTATAGTTATAAAGTTTTAATGAGTGTTTTATCCTGGGAAAAAAAGTAACTGAAGAAAATATGTACCATCTGTTAGGTTTGTTATGGACTAAATTTTTTAAACAGATGGTTAAGATTGTTTCTGTAAAACTGTTTCTCTTCCAAGTATTTGTGTTTGGAAAATGCTTTGTTTTGCCACTACCCCTGGGACTGCCACTCACTTCTATATACATTTGCCTTTAGGTAAATTAGGAAAGTTATACCCTCTTAGCTGAACATTTATTACTTTTGATGGTATTAAAACCATACAACTGACAGCCTCATTCTAGTTTCTTTGTTAAAATACTTATCTTTAGAATGGAATATTTTCAGGATATTACAAAGCAGACAGGACAGTTGCAGCAGTATTTTAGGATTTAGTATTATTTTTTTTCTTAGATTACATTTCTTTTTTATAACTTTTTTAAAGATTTATTTGAAATGTAGAGTTACAGAGAGGGAGAGACAGAGAGAGATCTGCCATCCTCTGGTTCACTCCTCAAATGGCTACAGTGGCCAAGGCTGGGCCAGGATGAAGCCAGGAGCCAGGTGCTTCTTCCAGTTCTCCCACAGGTGAAGGGGCTCAAGGACTTGAGCTGTCTTCTGCTGCTTTCCTAGGCATATTAGCAGGGGGCTGTATTGGAAATGGAGCAACTGGAACTTGAACCAATGTCCATATTGGATGCCGATGCTGCAGGTGGCAGCTTATTCCACTACACCACAACACTGGCACCTGATTAAATTTCTGTTTAAAATTTAGGATAGATAGAATGTTGTAATTTTTTTTTCTCTTTTAAGATTGTTGGGTGTGGTTTGGGAGGGTGGATTATAGTGGTAATAAATATTGGTTGTCTAAAATTCCAGTATGAATATCTGTTAGAATATCATTTAATGTTGCTTTTACCTTTAATACATGTATTTTTTTATTTTTAAGAATGCTACACTACAAGCAGAGAAGCAAGCATTGAAAACTCAACTGAAGCAACTTGAGACACAGAACAATAATTTGCAGGCTCAGATTCTTGCACTTCAGAGGCAGACAGTGTCATTACAAGAACAGAATACCACTCTGCAAACACAGAATGCCAAGCTTCAGGTTGTAATGTGATATTTTGTGGATATGCAGCCAAACTCTTGAATTATGCTATTGAAATAAGTAATGTTACACTTGGAAACAGTGTTTATTAGTGTGTGCATTTAGTAATTAGTTGAAGACATAAAATATTTTTGGGCCATTCCAACCTACCAAAAATTAGCTATTATTATATCAGAGCCTCAAAATATTAATTAAATAATCCTCTCGATAAATATAAATGCATAAAGATAATTTATATTTAAAGTCTTTGTATCCTTTCAACAGTTGATAATCAGCCACAAATATTTGCTTTATGGTACAGTTGCAGCATGTAATTCCTTATTTCATTTTTACAGCTTTCTTATCATTTAGCTATTAGAGAATAATACAACATGGGACTCGTCTTTAGACTTGCTCTTAGCTCAGAGGATCCATCTTTCACATAACACTGCCACAATCTTTTGAAATAAAAAAGTCAAGTTGGAGAAAGTGCAACTCTGAAATCTCTTAAAGAACCAAAAGAAGTTCCCTATCAGAATCTAAAAGTTTTCTTTCAATTATTCTTTTCCAAGTGATAAGTTTGACTTGGACTCTCAAGAAATTTTCTAAAGTAGTTTTTCAGTTCTGTGAGCTCTCAAGTTATAGAAGTGATAACCTAGCATTTCAAATTCTGTACTTTTTAATATGTTGAATACAAATGGTTGCTAATCAGTGGTTGCTAATAAGCTTTCTTTGAAATACATTCAACCCAAAGGATATAGGAGTATATATACTATATGTATCTGTATACCAATTAGAGTTTCTTTAAATTAAAATTGTAATTTTAATTTTTAAACAAGAGCAATATGAACTATTTTTCTTATATCTAGTAACAGTATACTTTCTTATAGGTTGAAAATTCTACCCTCAATTCCCAAAGTACTTCACTTATGAATCAGAATGCACAACTCCTAATCCAGCAGTCTTCTTTAGAAAATGAAAATGAATCTGTAATCAAAGAGCGAGAAGACCTCAAATCTCTCTATGATTCTCTGATCAAAGATCATGAAAAGCTGGAACTTCTTCATGAACGGCAAGCGTTAGAGTATGAATCGCTCATCTCTAAACATGGAACTCTTAAGTCTGCTCATAAAAATCTGGAGGTGGAACATAAAGACCTTGAAGACCGGTAATTTATTATATTTTGTTATGTTAATTTGAAAACAGTTTTCTCTGGCATTATAATAAATTTTGTATATAAGCCACATCCTAGAAATAATTTATGTAGGAAATTTATATAAATTTACATGTGTTTTATGTGATACTTACTAATAAATTTCTTGTTTCATTCCTTTCTGAAGTATTTTCTTTTGTGGAAAAACTATAAGCCAAATACCTAACCTTTTTTTTTTTTCCAGTTACAACCAGCTATTAAAGCAGAAAGGACAGTTGGAAGATTTGGAAAAAGTGCTCAAAGTAGAACAGGAAAAAATGCTACTTGAAAACAAAAATCATGAAACAGTAGCTGCAGAATACAGAAAACTTTGTGGTGAAAATGATAGGTAATAAATGAATATTTTTATATTTTAGTTTTATATTATTCTTTATATCAGAAGTATATAGTATCCTTTTTAATTGAGAAAGAAAAAGCTCCCATCTTCTGGTTCACTCCTCATTTCCAAAACAATCCCCAGCTGGCATCAAAGCTGGGCACTAGCAGCTCAATCCTAGTCTCCCTTTTGGGTGTAGAAACCCAACTATTTGAGCTCATCACTGCTACCTCCTAAGGTCTCCATTACCAGGAAGCTACAATCAGGAGCTGGAACCAGGCTTGATCACAGGCGCTGTGATGTGGGATACAAGTATCTTAACCAGTGTCTCTATTGTGAAAAACAGAATAGACTGTTACGATTCCTTTTCTAGTAAAAAAAAAAAGAGGAAAAAAATTTTGGAAGACCCCATAGCAGTAAGCAAATTATTCAGCAAAATCATGCGGCTACTTATGGAGTCACTGAGATAAAAACTTAGTTTTTGGGTCTGGTTCTGTTGCACAGAAGGTTAATCCTCTGCCTGCAGTGCCAGCATCCCATATGGGTTCTGGTTCTAGTCTTGGCTGCTCCTCTGCCAGTGCAGCTCTCTGCTAATGGCCTGGGAAAATAGTAGAAGATGGCCCAAGTCCTTGGGCCTCTGCAACCACACAGGAGACCTGGAAGAAGCTCCTGACTCCTGGCTTCAGTTCGGCCCTGCTCTGGCCATTGTGGGAGTGGCCATGTGTGGCCTGTGTACCCTGTGTGGCCATCTAGGGAGTGAACCAGCAGATGGAAGAACCCTCTCTCTGCCTCTGCCTCTCTCTAACTCTGTCTTTCAAATAAATAAATCTTAGTTCTTTCAAATAAATAAATCTTAGTTCTCTTTTTCCTTTTCATTCTTTCTCGTTTTATTCAACTAAGTTTTTAAAGTCAAATTATATACAGACTTTGCTGTATCTTTATGACATTTACCTTCTTAGGGACAGAATATAATTAAACCTGATTGTTTATATCTTTATTTCTACTATTCTATTATACCAGGAACTGGTTTTTTTTTTTTTTTTTTTTTTTTTTTTTTTTTTGACAGGCAGAGTGGATAGAGAGAGAGAGACAGAGAGAAAGGTCTTCCTTTGCCGTTGGTTCACCCTCCAATGGCCGCTGCGGCCAGTGCACTGTGGCTGGCACATCGCGCTGATCCGAAGGCAGGAGCCAGGTGCTTCTCCTGGTCTCCCATGGGGTGCAGGGCCCAAGCACTTGGGCCATCCTCCACTGCACTCCCAGGCCATAGCAGAGAGCTGGCCTGGAAGAGGGGCAACCAGGACAGAATCTGGCGCCCCGACCGGGACTAGAACCTGGTATGCTGGTGCCGCAAGGTGGAGGATTAGCCTATTGAGCCACTGCGCCAGCCCTGGTTCCCTCAACTGTTGCAGGCTTGCAGTCAAAGGGAACTCTTAACAGCAGCCCCCATGACATTCACATTGTACAAATTACAATAGATGCTACTATGAGAATTTAACTCTGTTTCTATCATGACTTCTACTTGTAGGTTAAATCATACATATAGTCAGCTTTTAAAAGAGACTGAAGTTTTGCAAACTGATCATAAAAACCTGAAAAGTCTTCTTAATAATTCTAAACTGGAGCAAACAAGATTAGAAGCTGAATTTTCAAAGCTAAAGGAACAATACCAACAGCTGGATATCACATCCACCAAGTTGAATAACCAGTGTGAGGTGAGCTTTAATAAGTTTAGTCATCATTTCCTACCTTTAGGCATCCAGGCATGCCTAAAAAAGTAAGTAACCATACTAAAAGTGACAAAGGAATGTAAAATTTATATGGTATTTCTAAAAGTATTGTCATGGGCAATTGAAATTTGTAAGTAATTCAGAACTTCCTGTATAATATATTTCAAAGTTTTTTGCTATTGTTTTAAAACTTATATATCCAGATGCTTTGAAATTATAAAATGATGTATTTGTCTAATAAAGTTTATACCTGCCATGAAATAAACCAATAGAAAGAAAAATTCATGTGAAAGTACATACATTCAGTTACCCAACAAAGCTCAGAAAATACAGAACGATTATTTTACCTGTGATTTATAAAAGGTTAACAATCGTGTACTTCCAGAATGGCAGAGTGAAGGACATATAAAATCGATTACCAGGAAACAATAAAATTGTCAAAAACCATTCTAGGACTCTGGAACTCATGTGAAGGCATATAACAAATTGAGAGGCATTTACTAAAGAAAAACTACTCAGCTTGTGGAGGAACTGTGGTTATCTCAGGCATTATCTCGTGACTTCTATTCTTCTCCCCCTCCTTCCTGGTTCCAGTAACTGAGAGTTCTGACAGGGCATAAGGCAAACTGGAAAAAAAACAGCAGCTTGCAACTAAGACTGACTGACTTGATGTGGAAAAGAACACAAAAAAACTTCCATGCTGAGGAGAGTTGTGAAAATTCAACTCTCAGATAGATAACCTGTGGTTGAAATGTTGGTTTTAGCAAAACAAACCAGTGGAGTAGTCAGAAATTTGACCAGGAAATCTAAGAAATGAGACAGCCGTGGTGCATTTTGATCAGGTCTCGCATGTCACTGGTGATCTGTAAGGCTGCTCAGGAAAGGTTAAAGACATCCCTAACTATCTGTCTACCCATCTGTGGCAGACTGTCACAACTTGGGTCAAATATTAATCCTTGGCTTAGGAACTAAGTCATGTAAAGAAATAATTTGAAGGAGGTAGGAAAAATGATCTGTGGTTAGAGGTCAGAATAGTACTTAAATTTGGAGAGAAGAGATGGTGACTGGAAGGTAACACAAGGAATGTTTCTGGAATGCAATTAATGTTCTATGTCTTGATCTTAGTACTGATTTAACGTATGTCTTCACTGTGTGATCATTCATTTAGTTGTATGTATACTCTCTGCTTTATATATTTTTTGGTTGTCTATCAAAATAATTCTATATAACAACCATAGAACTACAGTGATAATGCCTAGTAAACATTTCTTTTTGCTCATGGGTCTCACTTATATGCAGATGTGCTAATCCACTCACTGATGTTTAAGCCAAAGTTTTGCTTCTGAGTTTATAGTTAGCTTGCAGGTATTTTGGGCCTGGCTGGTCTATGGTTTCTTCCACTGGATACATCGTCTCTGTCCCATGTGGTTTCTTATCTTCTAATGGGGTTGTAATAGACTAAAAAGAAGCACACAAAGCCTCTTGAATCCTAGGCTTGGAATTTTTATACCATCACTTCTACCACTTTCTCTTGTTCAGAGGATTCAAAATTCAAGAAGAAGGGGGCTAGCATTCTGGCATAGTAGGTTCAGCCACCACTTGCAAAGCCAGCATCCCATGTTGGAGTGCCAATTCAAGTCTTGGCTACTCATTTCCGATCCAATTTCCTGCTGATGTACCTGGGAAGGCAGCAGAAGATGGTTCAAGTAATTGGGCCTCTGTTACCCTTTGGGTGATTAGGAGGTAGTTCCTGGCTCCTCGCTTTGGCCTGGCCCAGACCTGGCTGTTGGAGCCATTTGGGGAGTGAACCAGCAGATTAAAGATTTCCCCCTCTCCTGATCCCTCCCTCTCTCCCTGTCACTGTGCCTTTCACATTTTTTTTTTAAATTTCAAGAAGAGGGTCAATAGATTTCACTTCTTTTTAAAATTTATTTGAGAGACTCAGAGTTCCCATCCACTGATTGAATCCCCAAATGCTCACAATGACCAAGGCTGAGCCAAGGACAAGAACTTAACCTAGGTCTCCGATATGGGTGTCAGGAACCCAATTATTTCACCCATCACCACTGCTGCCCAGGGTGTGCATTAAGCAGGAAGCTGGAGTCAGGAACTGGTCAAGTATCTAATCCCAGGCACTCTTGATATGGAATGAGAGCATCTTAATCACATTCACCCCAGATCCTACTTTCTTTTTGTTTTTTGTGTTTTTTTTTTTTTGAAATATTTATTTTTTTTGTTGGAAAGAGGGAGTGAGAGAGAGAGAGGTATCTTCCATCTGCTGGTTCAATCCCCCAAAAGGCTGCAAACAGCTAGGGCTGGACCAGGCCAAAGCCAGAGCCTGGAACTCCTTCTGGGTCTCCCACGTGGGTGGGAGGGGCCCAAATACTTGAGCCATCTTTTGCTGTTTTCCCAGACACATTAGCAGAGAGCTGGATCAGAAGTGGAGCAGCCCAGACTCAAACCAGCACTCATACAATGTGCTGGCATTGGAGGCTTAACTCCCTGTGCAGTGCCATCCCCAGATTCCACTTCTTAAAGAAGATGAGAATGAGAGGTCACAATGCAATAGCATGCAGAATCAGGAAAGAATAAATGCATTCAGTTTTTCAGTGACTAACACATAATATTATTCTGTTAACAATATATAGATAGATAAATAAAACATGGTACAATATTAACAGTTGTTGGGTATAAATGATTATTTATAGTATTCATCCTGATTTGGGAATTTTCAAAATGTTTACTTTTTTGGGGAGAGGAAGTGAGAGATACATGTTATTTGTTTGCCTTTTTTGTTTTTGTCTTTTAAAACAGATCTCTGGGCTCCACTCTAGATTTACTGAATTTGAATGGCAGGGCCCAGAAATCTATGCTGAAAGTGGTATAATAAACTGATAGCACAAGTAGTGAAAGAATTAAGTATTTATGAAGTATTTTATATTTTTCAGATGATTTAAGTTAAAGGTAAATTTTTAAAAAAACTAAATATTTGTATTTAAACAGTTGCTAAGCCAACTTAAAGGAAATTTAGAAGAAGAAAACCGACATCTACTGGATCAAATTCAGACATTAATGCTACAGAACAGAACACTACTGGAGCAGAATATGGAAAGCAAGGATCTTTTTCATGTTGAACAAAGACAGTACATGTAAGTACCAAATATTGTACACTCTGAAGTACTGCTCAGGATTTTATCATTTCCAAATCCAATAGCAGGGAAACCTCATGCTGGTTTTCCATTACTTAGAAATTATTTTGTAAACATGTTTTTCAGGTGCTTGTATTCTAGGCATTATGCTAAGAACCTGAAATACTAACATGAAAACATGTAGGTCCTGTTCTTAAAGAATAGGTAATGTAAAACAATAAGTACAAATAAACATTTAGATATAATATTTCTACATTGGAGGTATGTGTTAGGGACCTTAAAATGACAGTGTTTATAGGAGAAGAAACACCTTAGGAAAAGCAAAGTAGATCTAAAGTTGAGACTTGATCTGAGACTAACAGTTTCATTAGGAATTGGCTTGAGGGAGCACACCAGGCCAAGGGAGCAGCAATGCAAAAACATGGAGGTCGAGGGGAAGTATGTTACTGTATGATATAGGACCTGAAAATTAATTGTTCTTGCTGAAGCAAAATAAAGAAGGAAGAGCAGTAGAGAATTGTTGCTAAATACTCAGGAGTCAGTTTACAAAGGTATTTCTCTGTCCTATAATTTCAGATCATGCTACAAAAGATATGAGAGAGAGAGTTAACAGTGCTTAATTATTGATAGGTTTTGTCTCCATTGAGAATGGAGCAGTCTGGGATAAGAATCCGGGATTCGGGGCTTAGCAGCTTTGGTAGTCTTTATATTATACCACAAAATTCTTCTTTCCTCTTGCTCCCCGCCCCCCCATAATGGAAAGCACCATGATACAATAAAAATAGTAAAAATGTTAAAATCAGACAGCTGTATCCCAGTTTTTCCACTCTATGTGACCACAGATAAGTCATTTCATTTCTTTGATCCTTAATTACTTCTTCTCTAAAATAGAGATGATACCTTCCAGGATTATCTAAGGAGTAAATTTAATAATGTGTGCCTTTCAGAACTGATATACATGAGAGTAAGTCAGGCACACACACTTGTGAAACTACATCATACGTTTTTCTGAAGCATTAATTTTATTAAATAATTTGGACAGCGAACATTATTTCTGTATTAAGACACAGGTATATCATGAAGCAAAAGGCAGTTTGCATGAACTTTTAAGATAATATCAATCAAACTTTTAAGATAAGATCAATATCTCAAAGAAATTTCACATTTGTGCCTGGCCACTTTAGATTAAATCTTCGGTCCTTTCAGGGGTAAATGTTCTTTACTCCCTGCCAGAAAAGTCATTTTCAGTTAAGAAGCCCTGAATACATATAAAAGCTCTTGGCATTAGAGTTTCTTGTCTCTTAAGTAGAAGCATTATCCAAAGCTTTGTCATCTTAATATTCTGACTCTTGGTGACTAATTCATTTGCAGAGTTTCATTGATTGTGCCTGTATAGTTGACTTCCAAATAATTATCCTGACATTGAATTTAAATTACAAATCTAATTTCAGACATATCTAGCTGACTTCCTCTATCACATGGTCCTAGTAGGAGTGATGGTGGACAGGTAGTATGAAGAATTTGGAGATTCTTTAATTCCATTTCCATGGGTAAAAGGAGAAAAGAATTGGGAGCTGTGTCTTTCTCTACTATAGTCCTCAACTGTGAGCCATTCTGCAGGTTTCAGATTGATTCAGTTGGTTAATAATAAAAGTATAGGACATCTGCTGTTGCACTGTTGACATCACTTCACAAAGCATCTTAAGTAAAATCAGTTCTTCCTGGTTCCTACCACCTTAATTCAGCCTTTCTAGTTAACTAGACTACCACATTAGCTTCCTGGGTGCTGGGTGCTTTCTTTACCTCCAGTCTTTCTGATATATTCTCTTCCATCACTGGATGAAAGTACCCTATGCTAAAATTGCATAACATCAGTTTGCAGTGAAATTTCTGACACTTTTTGATTTCCCATTGAGCACTATCTAAACCTGACTTACTCCTTCCCCTCAACCTGTATTCCAGCTAAACTACTTAGTTTAGCCTTCTTATCTTCAGCCTATTTAATATGGCCTTATTTTTAAATAAGGATTTCTTTGGTCATCCAAGATGAAAGTATTTTCTCTTATAGAAGTTAGTGTTGTACCTCTACAGGTCTTTTATTTTGGTATTCCTACTATCTTAGATTATAATAGTCAGTTATGTACAGGATACTTCAAACAATTGGTAGAAAATGCAGTTAAAACACAGGTTAGTTTGGGTGCATAAAAATGTTGAAATCCATGCATATGAGGGATCTTCATAAAGTTCGTGGAAAGGCATATAATTCAAAAACTGTGCATGGGTTTCAAAAATATTTTGTACCAAAATAAATTTATCATCGTCTTTGAAGTACCCTAGTATATCTTCTCTCTCCTAGTACATTCTATGCAAAACTACTTACCTGTCATTTTTATATGTACCTCAGTGTAAATGATCACTGGGTGTTGAATAGAGATTCTTTGGCATTGTAGTTTTTCTTTAGAGAAATCACTCGATCTTTCATGTTTCTTTTCTATATTCTATCAAGAACATAAAAACAAGTCTAGAATATGGTGAAATTAGTGTTCTCATGATTTGTTAGATTAAGCAAATAATACTCTGCAAGTAAAGTAAGCCTAAATAATTGTACCCGAAAGGATGAAAATATGGTTGCAAGATTGTTTACTATATCTATAATTGTAAGCAAACTACTCAACATTTTTGCGTATATATTTTTTAATGAATTATACTACTTCATTCTAAAAATTATTTGAGTTAGTTAATATCCAAGAGTGGTAAAATAGTTAATTTTGACATAATTTTTGTTTAATAGCTATAAAAAAATAGAAGTCCTTTGTGTGATGAGACTATAGTTTGGAATTTTTTCTTCAAGTAAAACCTATATGCCTTTATTTAAGGAAATTGTAAATTCTTTTAAGAAGAATAACATGGGAAAATCCCATTATTATTACCTAATAAACTCTTAGTTGTCAACTATGGTAACTATATTTGTTTAAATTTTGAAGGAGAGGTTAGATAATAGTCATAAAATAATCTAATATTCATAGCTATATAATATTCATAGCATGTATATAAATACATGTCCTTATATGCAATTTTTATTTTTATAGTGATAAGTTAAATGAATTAAGGCGACAAAAGGAGAAATTAGAAGAGAAAATTATGGATCAATACAAATTTTATGACCCATCTCCTCCTAGAAGGTACCAAATTTTATGACTTCTTACTTTGAAAACAATTATTTCAGTTGTTAAGGCTTCTAATTTTGTGAAGGATTTATATTTTGAATTTTGGACTAATAAGAATGTTTTTAATCATTAGGAGAGGCAACTGGATTACTCTAAAAATGAGAAAATTGATAAAGTCTAAGAAAGATATTAATCGGGATCGTCAGAAATCTCTGACATTAACACCTACCCGCTCAGACTCCAGTGAAGGATTTCTCCAACTCCCCCATCAAGATAGTCAAGATAGTTCTTCAGTAGGTTCAAACTCTTTAGAAGATGGCCAAACCTTGGGGACCAAGAAAAGCAGCAGTGAGTGCTTAAACTCTTTAAACATAGTTTTGCTATAGAATCCTTTCTATTTCTTAAGGAAAAGAAAATAAAAAACTTCAGCAGTTCCTTGAGAGAATATAGCCTGATGAATAGCATTTTGTTTTACTTTCACATGATTATAAAATTAATTGCATACTGCAGTAGTGCACTACCATATGATTATTAGATTTACTACATACCCAGATACTGTCATTTGGCAGGGAGGTAAAATATTGTAGAACATTGAAATAAGAGCCAGCATATTTCTGCCACTTGATAGTTCTGTTAATATGGGTAAGCCTTTTACCTTTTCTTCATACTTTGCAGGCTGACTATGAGAAGTAAGTGAGAAATATGTAAAGATTTCATTTTCCTAATTACCTAAAACCTAACCAGAGTAAGATGTTTATAATGAAGTTTTTGTTCATGTACTTTAATGGTGTCAAATTGGAGCAAAGTTACCTTGGGAGAAGCAAAGAAAAACAGGTATAAACATGAGAAGGTGTTATTCAGTGATTTGGAAACACCCGAAAGTTAAGAAAATTATTGAGGGATTACTTAGTAAAGGATCAGTTAAAATGAAATACAGAAATGGTGAGATGTAATTTTGTATATAAACTTGTGACTTAATTTTTATTACAAATTTAGAAGTATTACAACATAACATGCCCTATACATTACTTAAGTGCTTAGCTGAAACAGCAAGAACAAAGTAAAAGCTTAAAGAAATGTATTTCAAGAGAAAATAATTCAGAACCCTAGCATTACCCTTTGAAGATGTCTAAGAAGTTAACTGCTATCAGTGTTCTCATAAAAACATAAACAGAAAACTTTGAATCCTCTCACAGTATCACTAGTGCTGTTAAATTAAAAAACAGACACACATGCCATTCTTTTGAAATAAAAATACCTGGCAAAAAAGCAGCTGCTTCTTCCTTCAGGGATAGTCTCTCCTCTTGGGTGACTAAAAGCACTCAGAAAACTATACATAATGTTTTAGCCTCAGGTGAATTGTGTCTGAAAAAACATTATTTTAGTGTGTAATCTATCCGACTTAGATGCTATGTTTAAGAATATAACTGGAGCAGCCTAAAAGCTAGAATCCACAGAAAAGCAACAACCACAAAACATACACAGATATACATTAACGAGCCTCTAGAAAGCAGTTTCATTCTCTGACATAGACTGTAGTTACCCCGAGTCTTTTCCTGCAGGAAATCTCTGAGTAGTAGTAGTTGTGAAGAAATCATCAAAGTCTCCTTAAAAAGGTGGCAGATAAGTTAATTTTACCTGCTACCTTACAGTATCTGTCATCTTATTAAATTAATAACAGTAATGGGTACTTATTTTTTAAATTGAAGACATTTTAATTCAGATTTGAAAACCAGTCAAGAAAGGCAGAACAGTCTTTTTTTGAGATAGAAATTTGTCATTCTTTCAAACCCTCTGTTGAAACACTCAGAAAAATATTGTAATGTTCTCATTTCCTACAAGTGTTCAGTTTTAGAATTTTAGAAATAAGGACAAAACCAACAATACTAATGTTCCCTTAATTTAAATATGCTTTGGGAAAAGAACAGTGTATATCTGCAAACCAAATGCTATAAGAAAAATCACATTCCAACCCTGGCAAATTTAAAACATCTTTTATCCTATTCATTTTGGAAGAGTGTCTGTCTGTCAGTAAAGCAGTCTTTGGAAAACAGTTGAAAACAAAAAAGAAAAAAAATAAATTAGATAACACGTGCATGCTGCAACCACTCAGCTTTGTTTTAGCTAAGTGTCCATTTTTACATTGCTTTCAGTTCATTTCTTTTTAATCATTGAGAACAGTTGTGTTTACAAAGTTTAAAAAGAAGTAGGTCAAATTAAAATCTTAAATGAGTCATAATTGTGCCTAATAGCAATCAAACAAGTTAAAAAGTTGTATGTCAGTTGCATTCTCTTTAATGAATGACACTTGTCAGTTTATCAAAAGTGCTTTGATTACTTACATGATGATGAGAAATCCTGACGAATAGCATCATTATTAAGGCTGTATACAATATGTTTTAAAGTCTTTATGCAAATTGTTTTCCCTTCTCCCAAATTACATTTCTGAATATATGAGTTGTAGTTAATAAATTTGTTGTAGTTGTCTTACTAAAGTGTAGCTTAAGAATGATTAGTGACTAATGAACATTTTAATTTTTGTTGTAATGACTCCTATACGTGAGTGATAGTCCTCTACATAATGAAAAAAATTTTGCAGTGTTTCTTTTTTTTTTTTTGACAGGCAGAGTGGATAGTGAGAGAGACAGAGAGAAAGGTCTTCCTTTGCCGTTGGTTCACCCTCCAATGGCCGCCACAGCTGGCGCGCTGCGGCCGGCGCACCGCGCTGATCCGAAGCCAGGAGCCAGGTGCTTTTCCTGGTCTCCCATGGGGTGCAGGGCCCAAGCACTTGGGCCATCCTCCACTGCCTTCCCGGGCCACAGCAGAGAGCTGGCCTGGAAGAGGGGCAACCGGGACAGAATCCAGCGCCCCGACCGGGACTAGAACCCGGTGTGCTGGCGCCGCTAGGCGGAGGATTAGCCTAGTGAGCCGCGGCACCAGCTTCTTTTCATTTTATAAATGTGCCCAGAAGCCTTTCAGAATATCTAAAACTGTTGTACCTATTTTTCCTCTCATTTTTGGTTGCTCAGGGGTGCCTCCTTACCTGTTAGCTTTGTCAGAGCTCAATGCTAACACTTATTACCACTGTCAAAATATTCCTTGTTTCTTCTCCCAAACAACCTTTTGTAAAATCAACTTAGTATAATTTCTTATTTCATCTTTAGTAAGACTTTGGTTGAAAGTATATATATTTTCATTGTACTGATAATTAATGCACCAGAATCCAGTTTAATATTTTCTTTATTAAAATTTAACAAAATGATGAAAGTTTTAAATGTGACTTTTAAAAGTGAGATTGTTTTAAACATCCCCTGGCACCCTAATTTTTGTTTATGGATATGACTAAATGCTCTGATAGAATGAGTTTTCCTGAATTACTTTTTTTTCCAAAATAAATCCTTCCCATTTAAAAAATTAAAAATAGAACCTTGAAAAAGTTTGTCCATTTTCATCATGTACTGTATGACTCACCAATAGCCTTAATTTTAAAGGTCTACTAGAATTGGTCCCTCCTAACACTAATCAGTTCCTATTTGTATAGGACTATAGCCAATCCAAGCTTTCAAAGTGTATGTTCCTCATCATTGTCTTCAGTGCTTTCTCAAGTATTTTAAAATATCAAGTACATATTTCATATTTCATTATCACTCAGCAGCATGAGAATAATAACTATAATATAGCATACATAGCTGAAACTCAAAACATTCATTTCTGTCCTTAATTTCAACATTTAACTCCCATCTGTTCTTCTTCCTTTTTTCTTTCATTTCCCTTTTCTGTTTTTCCTCATGCTCTGACATTAAAGTGGTTGCACTGAAAAGACTGCCCTTTTTGAGGAACAGACCGAAGGATAAAGACAAAATGAAGGCCTGCTACCGTCGTTCCATGTGTAAGACTTTATGACAGTTCAGCTTCTTTCAAATGACTACATTGGCTTCCATTACTAATTTTTCACTAACCTTTCTCTGGACTGTACCAATTTTCTTTTTATGCAAAGTGCAGTCTTCCTTTCATACAAGGAGCTGGAAGAATTTTTTTTTTTCCAAAATTAGCACTATATGTATGTCAGTGATACATATACATGCATATGTTTAATCACATATGCAGTATGCCTGTAAATTTCCAGTGCTTCCTAAAAGCTGGTAGAGAAAGACCATTAATTTTATATGCTATAGAGATTTTTTTCCCAAAGAAATTTATTTAAGGAAATTTACTTAAAGAAAATATAACAAAACCTTTACCATTAGCATTAGGAATTTATTTCCTTAATGAATCAAATTAAATCAATAAATAAAATGGACTATAACCCTTGAAAATGTTTGTCATTCTTTGTATAGCAGTATTCTGAGTTTTCTTTTTTAAGTAGAATGGGTAGTTACTTGATTACATTAAATGTCTATCACTTTGGCTATCTCTTTCAGGTTTTTATTGAATGGTATACTTACTTGATTCATAAAATGAATAATTTCTTCAGTAACCTGCTCTGACCAAGGACTTTTTCATTTCCAATAATGATGCTGTATAAGAACTGCTCTTCATTTACCTTTATTCATTCCATTTTTGTTCACCACAAAACAACATGAAGGCTTCTAATTATATTGCACATCATTGCGCTAAAGCATGGCAGTTGCACATAGTAAAATTCCTTTCTCTGTCTTTTAAAGGGGGTGGAGGTGGGATAAAAGTATTTACTGAAATTTTATCAGCATTTGGCCTACTTTTTTGTTCAGCTGAATGCATGTCATAATTTAGATGGCCTTATGGTTATAGTTTTTAAGTCCATTTGCATTAATTCATAGACAAAACCCAGATCATTTATAATATGAAATAGAAATAAGAGCAAACACATTAACCATGCTGATTTCATTTGCTTTCATTTGCATCCCAGCCATGAATGACCTGGTGCAGTCCATGGTCCTAGCAGGACAGTGGACAGGTAGTTCTGAGAATTTGGAGGTTCCTGATGATATTTCAACGGGTAAAAGGAGGAAAGAATTGGGAGCTATGGCCTTCTCTACTACAGCCATCAACTTTTCAACTGTCAACTCTTCTGCAGGCTTCAGATCCAAGCAGTTGGTTAATAATAAAGGTATAGGCTGTCTGCTGTTTGCACTATGGTGTAATTGTTGGCAACAGGAATTTTAATTTGACTTTCCCTGTGTACTTTCTTTTTAAAGCAACAACCTGAAATAATTATAAAACATGATCTTATTCTCATGAAGATTTGATTTGAGGGAATTTTCTAAATTTTAAAATATTACACAAATAATTAAAATCTTTCCTAGGCCTCTAATCATAATAAACATATAATGACTAACAGGAAAGGAGGAAACCAGGTAAAAAGTGGAAAAAAAAGAGGGAGTGAAGGAGTGACATAAGTTAAAAAAAAATTAAAAGTACTACAACTTCAAACAGAGAACCAGGTAGACCAACACAGGCTCTTATTTTGCTTTGCAGGGTCACAGGGGAGTTTATTTCATTGATTCTGGTGTTTTTCCTAAGCAAGTCAACTCTAATCAGAGCTACTCTTTCTTATTCCTAGTTTCACTTTCTGGTTGAGTCTAGGAAGTATGTTAAATCAAGATATTTTGTACATGATTGAGTAAGAATTTCCATATTCTATATAAATAAAATTTTATAATGGATTTTTGTTAAAAAAATTTTATATCCATTTTGCTATTTTATGTAGATACTACATCCTTTGAAGACATAAGTCCACAAGGTATTAGTGATGATTCTAGTACGGGATCCAGAGTTCATGGTAAGATACGAATTTAGAGAGTACCTATTAAATACAGAATAGGAATGCTAACTCTCTCACACAGAACAGGTGAATGTGGCATTGCCAACAAGCATGTTTTCCCTATCCTTCATCTCATAGTTACTCCTGCCATTTCTTCAAACCTAATACAGCCTGTTCCCCCTATGTTCTCTGTTTTAATTAAGGTCTTTTATAAAGTATGCCTACACAATCCTCAGAGATAATTTTGTTACCATTTTTGTATGAGATTGAAGTTACATTTTATCATTGGTTTAAAAATATTTACTTCAGGGAGCCAGCATTGTGGCATGGCGGCCACGGCCTACAACCTCGGCATCCAATGTGGATGCCAGTTTGTGTCCTGGCTTCTTCACTTCTGATCCGGTTCCCGGCTGATGGCCTATGAAGGCAGCGAAAGATGGCCCAAGTGCTTGGGCTCTTGCCACTCACATGGGAGACCAGGAAGAAGCTGCTGGCCCCAGGCTTCAGCCTTACTCAGTCCTAGCCTTTGTAGCCATCTGGGGAGTGAATTAGTATATGGAAGATCCCCCTCTGTCTTTCCTTCTCTGTAACTCTGCCTTTTGAATAAATGATAAATAAATCTTTTTAAAAAAAATACTTACTTTGGTAAAAGGTGAACTTTGGTAAAAGATGAACAAAATGTTCTGCAACAAGTATATCTGATTTTTAAATTTCCATCTGGAAAATCATATCTTACCAAATTCAATTATTAACAATCAACAGAGAATATGTTAAAGGAACTTCATATGTAAAGAGAATTTGAAGTAGCATAGGATAATGTTAACTGTACAGTTGTTTCCCTTGTACGGATAGGAATACAAGTCATTAACTATGCAGATGCTCACGTTCCTCTTCTTCATAGCAGCTCTGCAATCTGTAGGGTTCCTTATCTGATCTGTTCTAAGTGACCTAATTAGCATTTTTGGTGGGCTTGGGGAATGTATCCTGTTCAACTAAACAGTCCTGGTCCTGGTATCCATCTAGAAATCATTTTCAAATCTAAATATGCACTCTATCTATCCACTGTTCTTTGAATTTCAACTGTTGTTCTGACATGTGCTGTGTCTTACTGAACTAACTGGAATGCCTTTGCTTTCCTAATCGGTTAACATTCAACTCCTTGTGGGCATGCTCAGCCTGTGAAAGTGTGCATGATTGCTTCCGCAAAGCATTCTGTCATCAGAATGTAAAATTCAGTGTCAGCTGGAATTTTTATCACACTGTCTCCTGCTTTTTTCATTTAGCTTCAAGACCAGCCAGCCTTGATAGTGGCAGAACATCCACTAGCAATAGCAATAATAATGCTTCACTCCATGAAGTCAAAGGTATGCTGTAGGTAAATTTATTAATGTTCATCCATTTCCATTATGCAGAAGTGTGAAATAGGATGAAGGTTCTGGGATAAAGTATGAAATCCAAATCAATCTATGTTTGACACATAGTTCTTTGGAGCATTTTATACTTTTCACATTGTAATACAGATGTATTTCAATGTATACAAATGTAAAAACAGGAGCAGTTATTTTAGTGTCAGTTTTTCATCTTCACAGATAAAAAGTCTTTATTTTAAAATTAATATTTCAAAATTATCTGTAGGTCCTTCCTTTACTTTTTGTCTTTAACATGGAAATAGTTGCCATTAATTTTCTCATGACGCATGTACATTGAAGTCACATTGCTCATATTTTACAGATACTTCCAGCTTAATCTACCCACAAGATAAGGGGAAGCATTATTTTTAATTTAAGAAGCAAGTATGTACGTGTGTATGTGTTGAACAACAGCTGTATGGATGCATATGGCTCCATATAAATTATTTCAAGATTTATTTTCTTGAATTTTTAAATAAGCATTCCAAGGTGAAATTTTTATGTAAATATCTGGAAACCTTGACCATGTCTTTTTACTTAAAGATATACTGCCTACTCAAATTTGAAAGTTGTTTAACCCAACTATTAGTTATTCTTGGTAATAAGAATTTGTCAAATTATAATAAATGTACCTGTTCCATTCCTTGGATTAGAAAATTATTTTGTCTAAGATGTAGTTTTATCATTAATGCTGTGACTGTTACTGTGATCTGAAATACCTGATTTTGGGGAAGATTCATTTTTTCATTCTTATAATCACAATTCTTATATCCCAATAGAAAAACTATTAGAGAAAGCTTAATTAATGGGTACTAAGTTGTAGTTATATAGGAAAAAGTAGTTCTGATGTGCTGGTTGCCCAGTAGAGTGACTGTAGGTAATGATAATGTACTATACTTAAGGCTGGAAGAAAGGATTTTGAATATTTTCACTATAAATTATAAATATGGAGCTTTGTCCTGATGTGAACATCACACAATATGAAAAACATCATATGCTACCTCATAAATAGGTACAATTTTGGTGTATCTATTAACATTTTTAAAAGAAAAATCTAAAATATGAATTTTTATCTGAAAATTAAAGAAAATCTTATGTGTATAAAACATTACATAACAGAAGCTATATTCTTTCATGACCCACTTTACTGTTTGTAATTAGGAAACCATGGAAAATTACATGTTCTGCCTTGATGTACTATATAAATTGCTGTTGATCAAAATGAATTAGGGGAAGAGGCTTAGAGGGAAGTCAGATAACAGTTATCAAAATACATCAGAAGTAACAAATTGTGCTATTTCATACCACAGTGGGGTAATGATAGTTCACACGAATGCTGTATAATGAACTGGAGGAGAGGAACTGGTAGGCTCCAAAAGACATAAGGAAAGATAGAGAACAAAAGGCTGGTTGCCTGGCTGGATTGGTTTGTGCTATGTAAACATGTTGAAGTATTGCTCTATATCCCACATACAAGTATTACATATTAATCAAAAGATTTTTTTCAAAGATTTATTTATTTATTTGAAAGTCAGAGATACAGCGAAAGAGGGAGAGAAAGGGAAAGATAGAGATCTGCTGGTTCAGTTCCTAGTAAGCCACAAAGGCCGAGGCTGACCCAGGCAAGACCAAGAGCTTTATGCAGGTCTCCCATGTAGGTTTCAGGGGCCAAAGCCCTTGGGCCATCTTCTGCTACTTTCCTAGGCCATTAGCAGGGAGCTGGACTGGAAGTGGAGCAGCCAGGACACGAACCAGCGCCCTTATGGGATGCCATTGTCCCAGGCAGCAGTTTTACCTGCTATGCCACAATGACCCCAATAAAAACTTTAAATTAAAAAAAAATTAACCAGAGGTCTTAAAGAATAGTATATGTTATGGGAACTTTATTCCAGAACTAGCTACTCTCCATTTTATGTAGTTACCCAGCCTCCACTGAGTCTTAGAGGCTATACAGTCACAATACCATCAATGGAAAGCAGGAATACTCTGATGACTTAGGCATTTAAAAAAAGAAAAGGTAAAATACTACATATTTGATTTTCTATTTTTACTAGCATTTTCTTATTGATTGCATCTTTCCATTTATATGGTATTTAAATTTTAAAATTCTAAGGTTACTCCTGTAGGATGAACATAGACCCCTTAAATAAGTTATTAGTACTTTAAAAAGAGGCAGAGAATTAGAATTTTTTGCTTTTAGGACAGTGTTCTTAAAATATAATCCTAAATTGTGAGTTTTACAATTCTTAGAACCTGAATTTTTAAAACTGTATGGTTTACTCTATTTATTTATCACGTGTATTCAGTGCTTGGTTTATATGAGTTTCTGAGTGTGGTAAAGCAATTTTACCTTTGTAGAACTTAAAATATTTATCATTTTGACAAAATGAAGAAGCAAACTATGGCAGACAATTGTTAGACTGATGTAAGATTAACATGGTTTACCAACCATTTGTAAATAAAGCTTAAATGTGTAATAGGCTATTCATAGACTATGAGCCCAGTCACAAATGTTACTACTTCTGTAATATTAACTTCATTTTTATTATTGAAGTCTGAACACACCATTTACTCCAAAAGCAGGTGCAGTTAATAACCAAAGCAGGCCACAAAGCCACAGCAGTGGAGAATTTAGCCTGCTTCATGATCATGAGACTTGGTCCAGCAGTGGTAGCAGTCCAATCCAGTACTTGAAAAGACAGACCAGATCAAGTCCAGTGCTCCAACACAAAATGCCTGAAACACTAGAAAGTCGAGCATATCACAAGATCAAAACTGGTTCCCCTGGAAGTGAAGTTGTTACTCTACAGCAGTTTTTGGAAGAAAGCAACAAGCTTACCTCAATACAGGTTAGTTTTATCTATTGTGACCTTGATTTAGATTAACACAAGTTACCTTTTTTTTCTTTTTAAGGATTTATTTAATTAAAACAGCAGAGTGCAAGAGAGAGAGGGAGAGACAGAAAGGAGAGAGATCTTCCATCTACTGGGTCATGCCCAAAGGGCTGCACCAGGCCAGTCAGGAGCCTGGAACTCCATCCTGGTCTCCTACATGGGTGGCAGAGGTACAGGTAGTTGGGCCATCTTCCGCTGCTTTCCCAAGTGCATCAGTTGGGAGCTGGATTGGAAGTAGAACAGCTAGGACTGGAACCAGCATTCCGGTATGGGATGGTGGCATCACAAGCAGCAGCTTAACCTACTGCACCATAATGACAGCCCCAAGTTAAATTTCTGTGATTTTTTTTCCAGTTAAAGGGTGTCAGGAGATACTAACCACTTTAATATTATACAGTGTAATATCAGGAAAGCAAAAACAGGGCTTTATTCATTCATCTTCTTTGATTTTTTTTTTAAACAGATAAAGTCCTCAAGTCAAGAGAATCTTTTAGATGAAGTAATGAAAAGTTTATCTGTCTCTTCTGATTTTTTGGGAAAAGACAAGCCAGTTAGCTGTGGTCTGTCCAGGTCAGTAAGCGGAAAAGCCCCAGGAGACTTCTATGATAGACGGACAACTAAGCCTGAGTTTGTGAGACCTGGTCCTCGAAAGACTGAAGATGCCTGCTTCATTAGTTCTGCAGGAAAGCCTACACAAGGCACTCAAGGAAAGATGAAAATAGTAAAAGAAACTTCTCTGTCACGACAATCAAAAGATAGTAATCCTTACGCCACTTTACCTCGTGCAAGCAGTGTGATCTCTACTGCTGAAGGAACTACACGAAGGACAAGCATCCATGATTTTTTGACCAAGGACAGTAGACTGCCTGTGTCAGTTGATTCACCATCATCTACTGCTGATAGCAGCAGCACTGCAGCATCTAGTGAGTACCCTTTACACCAGTGGTCCTCTGAAGCACTTTATGGTCCAACACATGCTATAGGTTCTCATGCCCAAAATAATTTAATTATAGATAAGCCTGAGTCTCCATATGCCCAAGCTAGAAACTCAAGAACTGAAAAGTTACATCTTCCAAACCAAACTTTTACTACCATTAATATGTCCAATAACATATTTGGAATATCAGCTAAAGATAGCATAGCATCGTTTGCTGTGGTTCACTCATCTCAGCCATTTTTATCACTGAACACAGAATTAGTTAGTAACATAAGTGGGTTACCTCCCAAGCCAGTCACCAGAGTAACTGATCAAGCCTCTTTAGATAAAGCTGTATGGAAAGAGAATGAACAATTTTCTGATAATCAGAATCCTAGAAGCAGTAATCCAGAGTCTTGTGTAGATAGCAATAACCTTATCACTCCTGCATGCCTCTATCCTGATGACACAGAAGCTGCATTGTTGGTTTCTGAGGATAATCAAACTCTTTGGTATGAATATGGTTGTGTATGATCAAAGTTGCACAATTTATTGATGTAATCTGATATGCATTATGCTTCTCTCTAATCTGATTTGAAGAGCTGCTGTTGGAAGTATCATTTTGCTAGATTTACATTCTTATTTTAAAATTGTTGCATAGTGTTCAGCTGTACACAATGGCATGTATATATAAATGTGAATGTGTAATCACTCTAAAACCTGCATGATATTAATTGCATTGTATATTTTCTGCATGTCATTAGAAACCTTAACCATATATGCTCCTCTTTCATATTTTTTCACTTGATAAGGTCTGTTATTTTGATAATCAGAAGCATGTTGAAACAGTTGCATGCTCCATTAGCAAGAAGGCATTTCCAAGTCATATTCTCTTTACTTCTTCCAAAAAACAATGTTCATTTATCCTTGCCTCCCGCATTCTCCCTCTCCCTTGCTCTTGTTCATCCCACTATTTCCAGAAATGTGCATTTTATATTGCACATATACAGTATTAATGAGTAAAATATGTAAAAAGATGCCATCCCTTTTGCCATTTAATTATGGTATCCTATTTGAGTTTCAAAGAAATCATTGATTCAGTTTAACACTTAATGTAGCAAATGTTAATAATGCCCATATTTATAAAACAGCATTCAGATTTCAGACATTAATACTTATAAATTTAGTGTTATTCCTAGAATACACCATCAAATTTAAGTGTATTTAAACAGATTAGGAGAATATTACTAATTCTATTTCTTCTTAGAACTTTTCTTCATCTGATAAATACAAAATCTCAAATACTCTTTCCTTCAAGATGACATATTTACTTGCAATTAGCACAAGTTTTCCAGTTCTTTTTTTATATAGTGTCAAAGAGCAATAAAGTCATATTTTGTTGGAAATTTGTATTTTTACTTCTGTTCAAAAAGGGTAGCAAATTTACAGATTTACAGAATATTGAAAATTGTTACTCACATGATTTATTATGAAAGTACATGTGGATATCCTTAGAACTTTAAAAAATAACACATGCTAAAATGTAAAATCAGGGCTTATGACCATCTAAGAAGACAAGTATTTGAGTACAAAATATTTTAGAGCTGACAATAAAACTCTTTAGCTTAAAAAAAAGAAAATATTTGCTAACTCTTGATTCCAGTGACATAAACTTTTATGTTCTAAATTATCTGTTCATAGCACTTTTAAAGCAAATTAGCTAAACATGGATCCCTAACTTCCAGATTATTAAAAAAAAAAAACAAAAACAAAAACAAAACAAAACAAAAAAAACCTTAACACCAGTTCTCTTACTTCTGAATGAGAATGTCGTAGTTCTGTTTCTGGAATGTTTTTGCCATCCTGATTCATCCCAAGTAATACTAATGATAGAACCTCACCTGGCATCTGGAAGGAATTCTTGAAATGTGACTTTGTAAGTGAGGAGGAAATTATTTTATACTTATATTAAATTTTTATTCTTATTGGCCCAAAGAATCTAAAGAGACTAGTTGCTTAATGAAATTTTTATTATTTTAAATTAAGCTACCCTCTGGCATTTACACAAGATTGTTTTGGGGGGGGGGCTAAGCTCTTTACATTTATATTGTTGACTATACTTTTTCTTATAGCTATCAGTAAAAATGATTCTGCTGGAACAGGTAACCAAATGAACGCAATCAGAAAATTTTATGTTTTTTTGGTACCACCTAATATATTTTCAGCATGATACATCATTCTATGTCATTGTCAGTTGTCAAATATTTCAAATATTGTTGGTGCTAATATCCTTTTTTTTATACCTAATAATAAAACTTAATGGAAACATAGCTGAAACTAGATAAAAACCATACATGATAGAAGTGTAATAATTGGTATTATTTCTTTTCTACACTGAGTCGAAGAATATTTCACAGCTAATTCAGCCTTTTGTATGTCAAGAATCTGGCAGTAACATTTTAAAATATTAACTTTATCCATTAAAAATACTTGGAAAATCATGTGCTATTATATTGCAAACTATGTAATTAGTATCCAAAATTACACTTATAGGAAATGTGCTTGCTACTCAGATGGCTACAGTTATATATCTAACATCTTTTCATTTTTAAAGAAAAAGATTTCTTCTATTTGAAAAAGTTACAACAGAGAGAGACCAATCTTCCATCCATTGGTTCACTCCCCAGCTGACCACAGAAGCCCAGACTAGGCCAGGCCAAATTCAGGAGCCAGGAACTTCTTTCAGGTCTCAAACATAGGCAGAGGTATCCAATCCTCTGCTGCTTTTCTCTGGGCCAGGGAGCTAGATTAAAAACAGAGCAGCCAGAACACAAACCGGTGCCCATATGAGATGCTGGTGTCGCAAGCAGCAACTTTACTCACTATGCCACAACACCTGCCCCATGTAGTACCTTTTCAAAAAGAAAATATGTTGGCCAGCGCCATGGCTCAATAGGCTAATCCTCCGCCTTGTGGCCCTGGCACACACGGTTCTAGTCCCGGTCGGGGCACCAGATTCTGTCCCAGTTGCCCCTCTTCCAGGCCAGCTCTCTGCTATGGCCCGGGAGTGCAGTGGAGGATGGCCCAAGTCCTTGGGCCCTGCACCCGCATGGGAGACCAGGAGAAGCACCTGGCTCCTGGCTTCGGATCAGCGCGATGCGCTGGCCGCAGCGGCCATTGGAGGGTGAACCAAAGGCAAAAAGGAAGACCTTTCTCTCTGTCTCTCTCTGTCTTTCTCTCACTGTCCACTCTGCCTGTCAAAAAAAAAAAGAAAAAAAAGAAAAATATGCACTGTGCATATAAGACAAACACATACCATGACCATGTGCTTTGAGGACTATCTTGAGAATAGAGTCATAAAATTCCCCCAGAACATTAGTTTATTGCCTATGTTTCTTTATAGTACTTGGAATCAAATTTTTAGTAGTAGAGAAACCTTAGGGATCATATGGAACCCATGTTTCCAAAACATTCTTAAAAATCAACATAATATGTTCTCTAAATGAAACAGGTGGCCAGAATTCTGTTTTAAAGCTAAAAGTGAGGCAACTTTGACTCAACTGAGCAGCTGCACTTAACTTCCTCTAAGACCTCACAATGAATGGTCTTGCAGCTTCCCAAAGGATTAGTTGAAAAATGACTTGAAGATTCAGTGCCCTAACTCTATTTTAATATATGTGCTGCCAAGCACCCTAATTCTATAAGCAATGAAAATGAATGGCTTTTCATATTCCTGCCTGAAGTTTCTAGAAATTATGAGATTTGTGTGGTATTGTAAATATATTACACATTAGGTTCCTGTGATCAAAGTGATTTTAGCTACAACCAATATAATTTGGTATATTATTTGCCTAGAAAATATACATCAGCCCTGGTTATTTCTTAACTAATAATATAAATATTTCATTCTAAATGTTTCTCCTGCTGTTTGCAAGATTATTTTTTACTTTGACAATATATGGTGACTATTTAGTAAATAAACAAAGTGAGTAAGCCTAACTCACACTGAGAGGAAAAACTATCATTGTTAGTTTTTAAGAAATAGTATCAGCTTTCTGAAAATTTTTATTTATAGCTTTGAAAATGACCATAGAAATCAGTCTCTTAAATACGAGATGTCTCTCATATTCATAAGTTTCCCAGTTAGTTTCCTTCTCCTTGCCCTACCCAGTGAGAGCTCTTTAGTTTCTTTTCTTCATGAATTGTATTGTTAACCTTTGATTAAATAACATGAAATGCTTTTCTCCTGCAGATATGGACAAAGTACAAGAAAGCAGAAATTCAAAAAGCAGGTCTAGGGAGCAACAAAGCTCCTAATTCTATTACCCACTACATGACATGTGGGCCAAGTGGTGAGTTTCCTGCTTAAAATGCAAATGAGATCAGTCTCATTTATGTAAACTAACCAAATTAAGTATGAGAACCAAGTGCATCTTGCATTAACAGATGTAAATATTGCTTGCTTAATTGGTTGACTTTCTATCTTACTTATTAGTGAAAGCAAGATTAGTTGGTTGCCACAGGTTTTTGCCTGTTAGTGCAGGGAAAAAATAACATTTTAAAAATATTTTCTCCTCCATTTTAAATTTAGTTTTACTAATGGTTAATATATTAAGAATTCCTTTTTTAGTTTGAAGTCTTTTTTTGTGTGGTGGAATGCAACTTCCCCACAATTTTCTTGACGATTTCTGAGAATCAACTAAATGCTGTTCTATAAAAGAGTCACTCAAAGAAAAATTCTGATTTTCTGTCGCTCTCATTCCATAGAAATATCTGATGCATGCTGTTCTTAATAGTGGCTGCTCTGTATTTTTATATCTATCTTCAATCTTTCTTATATTTTCTTTCTTCTTTCTACCTTCCAACTAAATACAGAGAGAAAAGTGTCCTTCAGTTTCTCAGTATGAAGCCTTTAATTCTGAAGTAACAAGACACCTAGCAACTATAAAATCATTAAAAAAAAAAAAAAAAAAACCTTTGAGACTTAATCCTTCGTGAATAGAGCAGGCAAGAAATACAAACCTTCATTCCTTCCTTGAATCAAGGAGCACTACTGGATTCAACTGCCAAAATTCTTAGAAGGTTTTAGGACTTTATTTTACATTGTACTACTAAGATCTACTGAATAAAGGACGTTCTCTCACTAAGGACCATGTGTTTTAAGGTCAAGTGTTTCAAGAAGTACTCCAAGAACAATCTGCTTCTTCCATCGGTTGTTTATGAATTTATCCATGTTTGCTTAATGCTTCTGCTAAATATTAGCTAAAATCTAGCCATTTATATTTAGTTGTGTAAATCTAAATTAAATGCTGTAGTATTTTGTGGAATGTACTATATATCAAGATACAGAGAAAATTGTTTTGGCATGTCAGAGCCTTATTTGGTTAACAGACTGCATGTGTTGGTACTTTTCTTTTTAAGCCAGTTATTTTGATGCACAGTTTATAAGGTCAAACAATAATGAGATAGTTATAAAAATTTATAGAGATATTAATCTTTACATATTCCCCATTAAGCAACACTGAGCATTCATACGTGAGTCCAAGTAATTAAAAGTTTTTCCGAGACATTTTTTAGTAAGATGGTTTTCCAGCAAATAACATTCCCAAGATAAAGCTGTTGTATTTTAATCCATTTATGTATGTCTTTGATTTTCTTACTTGAGAGCTGTTGCTTAAGAGGTTTTCTTATGGCAGAAATACTGTAAATAATTTACTATAATCAGCATTTTGCCAGGAACTCATTTACTATTAAGGTTATCATAGAAATTTTGTTTTTGTCCTTTATAATATTACATTAAAGTTGATAACTGTTATTGGTACTTTTGAAATATTTGTAAGCATTTGTTACCTTAAACATTTGGAAGAAGCACAAAAAAAGTAGATTTAGTTAACCCAGGGAAACATCAATTTTTTAGTAGTTTCAATTTTATATCACAGTTTTATTTTCTTATGAAATGTAAAAAAATGCATTGATACTCATTAATGCAAATTAGTTATTTAACATGAATAATCTTTAAGGCCTGAAATAAGGAAATACTGTTTTTAACAGTGCACTTCTTAGGCTTTCATTACCAGCTCTAAAGAACTTTTTGAATTCCATTTTCCATCATGTGTGGTTTATAAGCAGTATGTTTCATCACTAACCTGGTAGCCATGAGAAAAAGTCAGGCTCGCTCTCTTACCCCTGTGTGTGTGTGTGTGTGTGTATCTGTCTGTGTCTGTCTGCCTCTCAGTCTCTCTTTCTAGGCCAATAGCAGTGTTGTTGTGTTCACAGTCACCTTTGGAAAGACCATCAATAAAAAATAGAGACAGCATGTCCAGTTGACCAGAAGTTGAAATGGAAGTTAGAGAACTTGAATTAACTCGGTGCCACAAGTAATTTTAAGTTGTGTCACCAAATAATTCGATAAATTTAGATTACTTTGAAACTCTTAGATGAAAGGTGCTATGTAAATGTAAATAAAAAGGATTCTTGCTAAAATACAAATATTGAACAGCAAATATTAAAAATCTGTTCTCTATAAACTTTAAAATATTTTTCCTCCATCATGACTTCCTGATTCAAATATCAAATTGGAAATGAGTATCAATGGCAATCTAGAGAAACTTGCATGTAAAAAATGTAAATTCATTTTTAGGTAGATAAATTGAAAATGTAGAAATTATGTTTTAACTAAGTAAAGTGGGTACCTTAGATTTATATTAACTAGCATCTAATTTGCACAACTAGGACATGTCCCAGGCTAATTACTGAAATTTGAAAGGTAATGAGTGTGAGGTGGCCCCATGAGCTTGAATGCTATCACAGCTTGACCTTTCCAGGACACAAATACCCTGAGACAGAGAATAGAGAATCTGTTGAGGTAAGCAGCACATTACTGCTTCAAGTAGAAAATGCTTAGTGATGCCTGTAGAGTACTATATCCAAACCGAATCACCTTGAGAAGAGACAAGTTGGGACTGCGAAAATACAAATATGCTCAAGTGCACGCATCACCTTCTTCATACATTAAGAAAGGATTAGATAGCAGCCATGGGAATATTTTACTTTCTCCAAAAGGTAACTTCAGAAGCAAACTTTGGAGGAAGCCACTCTTCCTTTACATAAATTTATACCAAACAGTAGTAAAGCCAACTGAAAATGAACCAGGGCTATTTTCCTGACATGCTTTTACTTTCTGACTCTTCTCGAAATCAACACCAAAACCCCGAGGAAACTGAAGAATTCGATATACAGGGTAATTGTTTTGGCCCAGAGCTCTGATAATGTGCTTACAATCTGGCCATTTGGAAATGTTTTGGTCTAACTTTTTGAATTGGTGATTACCAAAGAGTTCTCAAAACAGGTTTATTTGTAGCACCTTTCATGCAAGGCAGGGTAACAGCCTACTTAAAAATCACTGTGCACATCATGGAATTGCAGCACCTCACAAATGAAGTACAATAGCCTGTACTGTATCAAATCTGCAATTACAATGGGGAGTAATAATGTATGCTAAATGACTTTTGTGTTTTAAGTTGCTCTTTATGAAAAAAGTGGTGAATTGTTACGTTTTTCCTTTCAGGTACACTTAGTTCTGAGATGTATTTTTTTCTTTAAGCCTTGAATGAATACTACAAAAGGAGCCCCTTTTATAATATAAACCTTGATGTACATGTTGAGCTGTCTGGACAATGAAAATGCCTTAAAAGGAATGCTTACAGATAATGTTGCACTTACAACACCCTTTAACAAAACCTGATGTTAAGTTGTCCTTTTCTGTTCTACAAAGGGTTCTCTTTTCATTGTTTTGCCATTGTACCTTTAGCTGTTATTAAATACCAAATCAGTTATTAAAAAACTGTAACATTTCCTTTTAAAACTAATGCTAATGAGGGTTTTGGAGTTGAACGGCAAAATCTTTTTACTTGGCAATACCTAATACCAGCCATAGGAATCTTAACACCCAGGAGACACCATTGTTTGGCTGATTTGTCTTTTTAAAATATTACCTTTCCATTTTAGGTTTTAACTTTGTTCCTCAAAAAATTGTGTTGGATTAACATTCACTTATCAAACTGATATAAAAAGAAATAAAACAAAGAAGTGATTTTTATATCAAGTGGTTAGTAATCATTTAAAAATCATAACATACTTTTAGCCAAGTGTTATTCCTTCATTCTTTTCCTCTTGCTCTACAGAACTCTTTTCAAATACAACCCATAACATTTAGATTATTTGTCCTGATCATTTTGGAATGAGTATTACATCTTTGAGGTAAAAAGAGCTTGCCAATCCCAAAGACGTCTAATACACTCTATTCTACCATTATTAGTGAGTGACTATGTTCTAAGACATCCAGAAATCAGATAGCACTGAACCCTGTGCATATGGTATTTTGCTATACATGCATACCTTAAGCTTATCAATTAGGTGTAGTAAGAGATTACTAATAGCTAATAAAAATTAATGATTTTAAGTTCTATGAAATATATTATTGTACAGTACTCACCCTTCTTGTGATGTGGAGATCAGACAGTACCTTCATGATGAGATGGAGAGAGGTGAATTTGTGACACAGCATTAGGCTACTGTTGTTACTGAACAGAAGCACTGCCATATGACAGCTGATCTAATAACCAAGATGCCTGAGTGACTAACAGGCAGGGGGGTGTATGTAGCAGATCTACTGGACACAGGGATGATTTTCAAAGTGGAAAGGCGTAGGATGGTAGGAGATTTCATCACTCCTCAGAACAGTGCGCAATTTAAAACTTAAACAAGTTGCTTATTTTTGGTGTTTCCCACTTAGTATTTTCAGACTGAGGTTAACCCTGTGTAACTGACACTGCAGAAAGCAAAACCACAGATTAGGGAGAACTAGTATAAAAAGCTGTACAAATCTTATATTCTGCTAATTAAAGACTTGAGAGGTATATGGCCATAAAGCTTTAGGTAAGATTCTAGGCCTCTTTATACCATGAGTTAGGCCAGATATGTAACCTCCCAGTTTCTATCATGTTTTCCTTCATTTTATATGCAAGGCAGTCAAAAATTGCCTCTGTCTTAAAGGTACAACACACAGTAGCTAAAAACTAACATGGAACCTTAGGAAAAAGTAATGTGTTAGTAACACAAGTTGTTACAAACTACAGTATTGCTACTAGATGTTAATTATTCTTTGGATTATCAAAACAGGCAAGTTTAATTCTTCTCCATTAAAACCCATGTGATTGTACCAAAATAAAATGACAATTTTTGTGACCACAAGAAGAATTTTTAGTCTAACCTCTGTCAGATCTTCCAACTAATGAAGAGTTTGCTTGAATCTGATAAGGTGAAAAAATGCCTTATTTTTTCAGTTTCTTTTTTTTTTTTTTTTTTTTTTTTTGACAGGCAGAGTGGACAGTGAGAGAGAGAGACAGAGAGAAAGGTCTTCCTTTGCCGTTGGTTCACCCTCCAATGGCCGCCGCGGCCGGCGCGCTGCGGCCGGCGCACCGCGCTGATCCGATGGCAGGAGCCAGGAGCCAGGTGCTTTTCCTGGTCTCCCATGGGGTGCAGGGCCCAAGCACCTGGGCCATCCTCCACTGCACTCCCTGGCCACAGCAGAGAGCTGGCCTGGAAGAGGGGCAACCGGGACAGAATCCGGCGCCCCGACCGGGACTAGAACCCGGTGTGCCGGCGCCGCTAGGCGGAGGATTAGCCTAGTGAGCCACGGCGCCGGCTATTTTTTCAGTTTCTAAACTCTCTTCTGTGTGGCAGCTGACTCTACATTCTCCTAATACTGTTTCAGATGCCATAATTGAAATGGTATGAGTACAATTACTCTAGAAACAGGATAGTAGAATAGCCTAGATAGAAGAAAATTGTACATGAGTGTGTTCACATTTCTAACTTCTGAACAAAGACTAAACATTCATTTTAATGGCATAAAGTATATCTGATAGTGAGTTTTAAAATGTGATTTTAATGGTATGATTGTGGCATAACATTTTTCATCTCTAGTTTTTCTAGATTAAAACTTTGTAAAGATATATTTTTCATAGGAAGTTACTTATTTTTCACTGGAAACAAAAACCAACAATGGTTAAATAACAAATGCCCAGCAATGGAAAGTTTTCACCCTATGGCCCCATGTTTGTTTGCATTAACTTGCTGGGGAATTCTTACTCCTTATTCATTTCCCAAAAATAAGCATATATTGCTATATATTTCTGATTTTTTTCACCTGTGCAATGTACACTATCATGTATAATTTTATACATACTGTTTTGTAACTTTTTTAAGTATAATAAACATCCTAAATATTTAAGCTAGTTAATTGTTAAAGGCATTCTTGTACAAGTAGTTGTCACAGGAGATGGGGAACAGAAACAGAGAGCAAACCATAACTACCTCAGTATATCTTTTTTAAAAAAAGAAAAAAAAGGATTTATTTCAAGGGGAGAATGACAGAGATAAAGAGAGACAGAGATCTTCCATCTGCTGGTTGGCCCCAACAGTTGAGGCTGGGCCAGGCTAAGGGCAGAAGGCCAAAACTCCATCTGTCTCCCACAGGTGGTAGAGGCCCAAGTACTTGGGCCATCTTCCATGGCTTCCCCAGGCACATTAGCAGAGAGCTGGATCAGCAGCAGAACAACCGGGACTCAAACATGGGATGCTGGCATCACATCAGCAGTTTAACACGTTGTGCCGCAACACCAGCCCCAGTGCAACTTCTTAAAAAGAGCTCTTTCAAGATGGAATACCTCCTAATATGATGTCGTCATCACCAAACCCCAAGGGGACTCCTTGATCACTTTCAATGCTTTTTATAAATCACAAGTAAGAAAAACAGCTTTCAGAAATCAATTTATTCTAAAGTCAGCTTAGTTGTTTTTATCAAAATTTAGTATTATGGGATCATGTCCTGTATTCTTCACAAATGTGAGAAAGTCTTGAGGGCTTAATCCCATGGTTGCAGCATTGGTCATTGGATGAAAGTAGACTTTTTCATGTCCACCTTCCAGAAAAGCAGAATCCAGAACAAATTTCACATCTCCATCATCACAGAAGAGTGCCAAGGGTGTGGCACAACCTTGGCCAACTTTCAATTTTTCTAGCATCGCTGTTTCATCAGCAAACCGCAGATTTCCACTTCCAACACCCAACTGCTTAGCAAGATCATTTAAATTAATTTGTCTGTCATGAAGAACTGTCACCAGCCAGTGGTTTTTTTTCTTTTTATCTTTAAGAAATAAGTTCTTACTGTGTGCTCCTTTCAAATGCTGGACATGAGGCATCATTTCTTCAACTGTAAACACCTATAAAATATCACATAAGCAAAAGTTTAAAAAAATAAACTAACATGATACACATAAGTGTTTTTCTTGCTGGGTGAAAACAGTATTCATTGCCCTGAATTTCACCAGTAGAAACCCATTTCTATACCATTATAAAATAACTTTAAGCCCTTGTTACTTCAGTTACTCATTGGATAACCTCAGTCAGTTTCTCCTAGGCCAATTTTCTACTCTGTTGTTGCCATGCCCTTAAATTCCTAAGAAGCTTTTTGTTTTTAACTTTAGACTTAGAGTTATGAAAATATAAGAAGCCCGCCACTCCTGTTCCGTAGCATTTCAATACATCCAGACTAGGTAACAACATCTCCAAATATGTAACCAAGACTCTGCAGTGATAGATACAGAACATCAAAAAAGTTGGCAACATGCACAGGTAGAGGGAAGAGTGAGTGGCCATGTGGGATGGAGGAAGATCAAAGAAAACCATTTTGATGTGCAGCATTCTGTAAAGGTGAGGAATACTAACTTTAAAAAATATATATTTATTTGAAAGGCAGAGTTAGGAAAAGAGATCTTCCATCTGCAGGTTACCCAAATAGCCACAAGGGCCTGGGCTACACCAGGCCAGTCAGGAGCCTTGAACCCCGACTCCACATGGACCGCAGGGACCCAGGAACTTGAGTTATCTACTGCCTTACCTGCACATTAGTGGAGAGCTGCAATGGAGTAGCTGTGACTAAGTGCAGCCCCTAAGGGATGCCCACCGCACCACAATATGAGCCCAGGAATAGTAAGTTTTAAAGCACTTCTCTACTTTTTGGTTTTGTTTGCTTGTTTTTAATCTATTTGAAAGACAAAGAGAACTCTTCACATGCACTGGTTCATTCTCTGAAAACCCAAACAGCCGGGGCTGGGCCAGGCAAAAGCCAGGGACTCTATTCGGGTCTTACACGTGACAGAGACCCAGGTAGTTGAGCCATAGCCTGCCGCCTCCTGGCTCGTGCTTTAGGGAGCTGGAATGGAGATAAGGGATGCAGCTGTCCTTTGTAACTGATGAACCTACTCAGGATCATATGTTGGCCTCCTGAAACTGTCACTCAAGCCTAGAGTAAACTTCTTGCACCACTCAAGTTAACACTGGTTGTTTTAAATGTTTCCAAACAAGTCTTCACATCAATGCAATAAGCCATGTGAAAACATAAAAATTTATGTATAAATTTTATGAAAAGTTTACATTTCTGTAACCACTGGGGTAATGTCATTTTTGCCTAGCTGCAAAGGTAGGGGTAAGCTTTGTGATCAAACTAACCAAGGCAGCAAAATACCCCATCTTGGGGCTCCGCTGTTCCTGAATGTTGGTAGCCGCTGACTGGCAATATACTGGTCGGTGACTTAATTTATGTACAGAGTCACATCCAACACCAATTGCACACGTTCTCAATGCTGCACTAGCTCTCAATATGGAACGAGACCAAATCATTCCAAGAGGAAAACAAGTCACCATCTCCCAATACCAAGTGGAGAGGCCTCCGCTGTTCCTATGGGTCCCTTTCGCGCTCTGGAACCCGGGAAATGTTCTGCCAGATACCATACAGTTGCCTCTCGGACACCCGGTCTTAGCGTCCCCGCCCCAGGCACCGAGTGGTGCAGCCCACCGCGCCCTACCGGGACTGCGCCCGCAACCACTCCTAAGGCGGGAGCCTCACCTCGGGGTGCTCCACGATCTCGGTGCGGATGTCCAGGGCACGGAGTCGCTGCTCAAGAGCCGCCCGCAAGTCAGTGCCCGCCATACTCGTGTCGCCGTGGCGCGCAGCGAGGGAAGCCGGCGCGGCCTGCCGTGGCCACGCAGACGGAGCCCAGAGGCGGAAGTGCCTGGCGGGAGCTTGGCCGGCGACGGAAACCGCGCCCGCGCCGTCCTCCCGCGCTTTGCTCAGCGCGTCCCTGAAGCTCTTCCGCCGAGGGAGCAGGTAAGCCGTGCTTCCTACTGGAAGGAGGCACCTGCTTCCTCACAGCCCTGACCCCGCCTCAGGTTTCCTAGATCAGCAAATAAAACAGCCACGCGTGGAGGGAGCCAAAATGCCTTGTCGTTCTAAGGCTTTTCAAGTGTCACTGCTAAATTATAATTCTACCTTTTCTGACTGTTTTTGTTAATTAGCTGTGCCAACCATGACTCACCTTGTCCCAGGGTATTATGACTACCTCTTGGTAGCGTGTATCCAGCTATTCTGGGAAACCCTAGCTCACCATAGGAGTGGGACCGGAAATTCCACGTTAGGGTTTCACTGAAGAAGTTCAGGAAGGCTCAAATCCCAGGTAAAACGTAGATAAACCTGAGGACATACATCTAACTGCGTGAGTGAGTGGGATGCATTTCTGGGATGCAAACTGAAAGCCTGGAGAAGAAAGCCAATACTCAGCGGAGGATCCGAATCCTGACCTGCCGGCCACCTTGGAGAAGGCTGAAAGGACGAATTCAGAGTTGACTGCACAGTTTCACCCAGAATTGTTCCCTGAAGGGCAGGATTTAGGGCTAGCATTGTGGCACAGCGGATTAAGCCACCGCCTGCTGCACAGGCGTCACAAATCACCAGTTAGGAGTCCTGGCTACTCCACTTCTGATCCAGCTCCCTGCTAAGGCACCTAGGAAAGCAGCAGCAGATGGCCCAAGTGCTTGGGGCCTCTGCCACCATGTGGGAGGCATGATGGAGGGGGTGTTGTGGTCACTCGAGGAATGAACCAGCAGATGGAAGATCTTTGTCTATTTCTACCTTTCAAATAAACTTTAAAAAATAAAAATAGGGACCAGCATTGTGATGCAGCTTAAGCCACTACCTGGGACAATGGCATCCCATGTGGGCATGGGCTTAGTATGCATTTGTCTGATAATCAGGGGCCTAGACATTTTTGCATGTTTACTGTTTCCTCATTTGTGACTTACCTTTGTTCAGGTCTTGGCTCAATTATCCACTGAAAATTAATGGCTTTCACAATGCTAGCTATGAGCAGTTCATATCAAGTCATGTCCCTTTTATTTGTCATATATCCTCGAAATAGCTTTTTTTTTGAAAGATTTGTTTTTATTTGAAAGTCAGAGTTACACAGAGGAGAGGCAGAGAGAGAAGTCTTCCATTCGATGGTTCACTCCCCAGATGGTTGCAATGCCTGGAACTGCACCAATCCGAAGCCAGGAGCCAGGTGCTTCCCCTTGGTCTCCCACGTGGGTGCAGGGGCCCAAGGACTTGGGCCATCTTCTACTGCTTTCCCAGGCCATAGCAGAGAGCTGGATGGGAAGTTGAGTCTCAAACCGGTGCCCATAAGGGATGCCGGCGCTTCAGGCCAGGGCATTAACCCACTGTGTTACAGCACTGGCCCCCCAAACTGCTTTTATTTTGTAGTTTGGTTTTATTTACAGAAGTCCAGAGCCGGCGCCGTGGCTCACTAGGCTAATCCTCCACCTTCTTTAAGTCCATAGTTTTCTATAAGCAAATATCGTCCTTTTCTTTAAATATCATCCTTTTTAAGTTATTCTGATCTAAGTTAAAAAAAAAATAACCTCTAGCAGTAGAGATAGCCAATCTAATTTATTAAGAACGTTGGCTCGGCTGGCGCTGCAGCTCACTAGGCTAATCCTCCGCCTTGCGGCGCCCTAACACCGGGTTCTAGTCCCGGTTGGGGTGCTGGATTCTGTCCCGGTTGCCCCTCTTCCAGGCCAGCTCTCTGCTGTGGCCAGGGAGTGCAGTGGAGGATGGCCCAAGTGCTTGGGCCCTGCACCCGCATGGGAGACCAGGAGAAGCACCTGGCTCCTGCCATCGGATCAGCGCGGTGCGCCGGTCACAACGCGCCGGCCGCGCCGGCCATTGGAGGGTGAACCAACGGCAAAGGAAGACCTTTCTCTCTGTCTCTCTCTCTCACTGTCCACTCTGCCTGTCAAAAAAAATATATATATATTTATTTATTTATATATTTGAAAGGCAGAACTACTGAGAGAGAGGGAGAGACGGAGATCTTCCATCCACTGGTACACTTCCAGGTGGTACAACCACCAGGGCTGAGCCAGGCCAAAGCCAGGAGCCAGGAGCTTCATCCGAGTCTCTCATGTGGGTGCAGGAATCAAACACTTGGTCATCTTCTGCTGCTTTCCTAGGTGCATTAGCCACAACAGCCAGGGCTGGGCCAGGCTGAAGCCAGAATCCAGGAACTCCATCCTGGCCTCCCACATGGGTGCAGGGACCCAAGTACTTGAGCTGTCTTCTGCCTTCCCAGGTGCATTAACCGGGAGTTGGATCAGAAGTGGAGCAGCTGGGACTGGAACCAGTGCTCGTTCATATGGGATGCCAACTTTGCAGGTGACAGTTTAACCCACTGGGCCAAAATGCAGGCCCTCAACAAATAATTTGAACCATCTCTATTTACCAGGTATGCTGTGTGGATCATCTACATGTGCCATGCTTTCAAAATACAAAGGTACTTCAAAAAGTTTGTGAAAATGGAATTCAAAGATTTTTTTTGGTGTCAAAAATGTGAAATGTCTTTAAAAACTTCATGAAATGTGTATTATGAGAAGACTATATATGTGGATTTCAAAATTTCTGAAGCAAAATAAACATATCTTTTATTTTTTATAAGTTCTTGAAGTGCCTGCCTATGGCATCTGCCCTTAAAGACCTTAAATGCTAGCAAACAAGAGTGAAGTATTCACACAAGAAATGTGCCCGGTGCAATGCTGGCTAGAGGAGGGCCACTCCAAGGGAGTTGCATCAGGAAAGGTATCAACAAATGCAGTTTGAAGGATAGGAGCTTGCTAAAAACAACAAAAAATAGAAAAAACAGTATCCATCTTAGGAAACTCCAGGAATTGCAGGATGGAGGAGAGAAAGCATTGTGATGTGATGCCAAAGTGGAGCAGGGTAAGAGGCCAGACTGTAGGAGATAAAACTAGGGCTGGATACAAAGGATCTGATATGCTATGCTAAGAATCCAGGAATGCTCAACCATAAAAGGACACGTTAAATAAATTAAGTGAAATAATCTTAAGGAATTATATGTTCTCAGTACTTAAGGACATGAAGACATACTCACAAATTAGTAAATGGGAAAATTTTTACATTAGTAAAGATAATATGTCTCCAATTTTGCATCGGGGCTGTCACGTGGCACAGTGGTTTAAACCATCGCCTGCAACACTTGTATCCCATGTGTTTGCTGGTTTGAGTCTTGGCTGCTCCACTTCCCATCCAGCTCCCTGCCAATGCACCTGGGAAAACACCGGAGGATGGCCGAAGTCCTGGGCCTCTGTACCCATGTGGGAGACCCAGAGGAAGCTCCTGGCTCCTGGCTTTGGCCTAGCCCAGACCTGGGGAGTGAACCAGAGGATGGAAGATATCTCTCTCTCCTCTCTCTCTTTCTTTATTTCTCATCCTTCCCTCTCTCTCTCTCCCCACCCCCATAACTTTCAAATAAATAAAAATAAATCTAAACAACAACAACAACAACAAAAAACCCAACCCCCTAATTAGTGTTAGCATCTTCTTTCCCTAGCTCCACTCCAGGGAAACTGGCTTCTAAAGACCCATAGACCATCAAAGAAGGAGGTACCTTTCTCTGAAGGGAGGAGAGAACTTACAATTTGATTATGGCCTTGTCTAGATAAGGTCGGAGTTTGTGAACTCAAGAGGCTTCCATATCCTTGGCAGCTCACGACAAGAGCCTCGGTCATAAATAAGAGTGTCAATTGTTAAATCAACAACGGGAGTCACTGTGCATTTACTCCCCATGTAGGATCTCTGTCCTTAATGTGTTGTGCTATGTGAATTAATGGTAAAACTAGTATTCAAATAGTACTTTATACTTTGTGCGTCTGTGTGGATGCAAACTGTTGAAATCTTTACTTAGTATATACTAAGTTGATCTGTATATAAAGATAATTAAAAATGAATCTTAATGAAGAATGGGATGGGAGAGGGAGTAGGAGATGGGATGGTTTGTGGGTGGGAGGGTGGCTATGGGGGGGAAAACACTCTAATCCAAAAGTTGTACTTTCGAAATTTATATTTATTAAATAAAAGTTTTTTTAAAAAAAGACCCATGGAAGAGGATTCATCTCAGAACAGAAGGTGATGGAGGTTGGTTCTTAGAGTATGAAAGGGGAAAGCAGCTGGATCTGGAAAAAAATTTGAATTTCTCCAGGGGCAGAAGAGAGGATGAGGAGCAGGGAGGGAGTGGGGGGTAGAGAACGGATCCTGTTGGCACTCTGTCACTCCAGTGGCTGGCTGGCAGGATGTAAACCTACTGTTGGCAGGAATCCCTTCTACTGACAGCAAATGCGCAGCAGTGCCCTCTGGAATCCAGCCTTTACTGTGGTTTCTTGGCTCCTCCTAAGTCTCACAGTCCTGCACAATTCCCTGGGGAAGAGAGGAAATTTCAGTAGTCGCCTTGGTTGCTTTTCCTTCCAGCTCCAGCATGTGAGGATTTGGGCCGTATTAACATCAATAAAATATGACTGTCACCCAAGTGCTGAAGGTATGACAGTGAGCAAAACCAGAGACCCTGCACCTATGGAGCAGTCTATCAGAGGGGAGAGGTAGTAATCAAATAATCCCAAGAACAAATGTTACATACTCAAGTAGTAAGAGCTAAGAAAAACAGGTAGGTGATGCTGTGAGCGCTCATTATAAGGGAATCCCACCTAGTGGCAGGGATGGGAGAGTGTCAGGGCAGGCCTACTGAGGAAGTGAAGTTTAATCGGAGACATGAAAATGTGTACAGGGCCAGTGTTGTGATGCAGCAGCTTAGTCGCTGCCTGTGACGCCAGCATCCCATGTTAGCGCCAGTCTAATGCCCTAGGAAAGAAGCCAGAGGACCACCCGAGTACCTGGTCCTTGCTTCTCATATGGACGACCCAGATGCAGTCCCAGACTCCTAGCTGCAGTCTGGCCCAGCCCCAACCTTTGCAGTCATCTGGGGAGTG